CTGCTCCTCGTCCCGTTTTCTTTATTCCTCTTTTTTCAGAACCTTATTCCAATCCACATATATTAGTCTGGATATTTGCAGTAGACTTGGTTACCCTACCCAAGAACATGTGAAATCATTAGCTGACGAATATCAACCAGACCTTTGTACATTTACCGCATCAATTCTTGTTATATGAAAACCTGTCTGTACCATGAATCATTTCTCAGCCCATAAGATGATTGTCGTAACGCAACCTTCGTAACTTGCGCCAATTGATCGCTTTGTACATTCCATCTTTAAGAAAACAATGAATCTTGTGAAATGTTTCAGTAACTTTATACCGTTTTCAGAAAAAAATATGTTGCTAATCTTAACATTTTGATCTTGCCTGTAAATTGGCATGTCTCTTGTAACATGTTTGTTATTTGAGAATAAATTATTATTATTATTATTAGTTCTTAATTGCCATGGAGAAACAAATGCTATGCCATGTTGTTATTGACTGTATAAACTTTCAGATGAAGCTTACTGCGAAAATTCAGGCGAAACCCTTACATCTCTCTAGGTTTATGACAAGAATAAAACCTAGAAACTAGTGTGTTTCTACTCTGGATGGTCCAAATGGTGAAGATCTTACCAACTCAGAGATGGCTAGGTTCTTGAACACCAACTTCACTAATCACTTTAATCATTTGCCTACACATTCAGGGCACTACTCATCAATGCTATTGTTTGATGGCCAAAGTAATACTCGACTTACTCGTGACTTACTACAAAACAGAATCCCTCAGTTCACCGGTATGTAGCCTATTCAGGCATTCAATGAAGTCACACCAACTTCCAGATTAACTGATACTATCGAAGGTAATGGAACGGCTGGTCGTGCACATCCAGTCTTCTCATGGCATGGGACAGTTGGATATCCTGCTAGGACCGAGAAATACCGGTGCACATAAGATTTCTTGTCTTTGCTAAAGCCTTCGATGCAGTACCCCACGCACTCTTAATTGCGGAGATTGTGGAAATGAGCTTCTCTAACCTACTACCATATTGGCTCATAAACTACCTTGAGAGTACCATGTTAAATAGTGTACTGGTTAAAAACTCTTTTGAGTTCCAGATGTTCTTCAGTTATAGAAATGTTACCCTTTCATTGCTAATCTGTGCTTGCATCAGATACACCTCGTTTGTCAGTGATGCTGCCCAGGTGTTTTATGGGTTTTAAATCTTCCAAAGCTTTGCCATCAAGTGTGATTTAGTTGATGCATGTTGTGCTGTATCGAGGATCTTGCTTTTACCTTTGTATATGTTGAGACCTCATGTTGCAAAGGCTGCTGCTACACTGGGCGTCTACTGCATTTGTTGCTTTGAACGGGTTCGAAGAGCTAGATCATTTGTGCAGTCCAGACCGTCCAGCTACATCCTAGCTGTCCACTGTACCCTGTGCTTTCCCTGAAATGTTGACTTCCTCATGATGCAGTCGACTGCCAAGAGAAACGGTAGGAGTAAATAACCTGTTTTAACAACGGTTTTTCACTTGAAATGAATCTGTGAGCTTCTCCCCATGCACAGTTTGCATCCCCTTATTTACTTGGTTCCAAAATCTGTTGATGTGATAGTTGCTGGTATCCAGAAACCCTGCTTTCTTGAAAGAAACCAACTCGTTTCAATCACAGGACAGATAAACTCACAAACAAATTACAACTGACTGTAACTAGACAGTTGATTGGCTAGGCCCGCATTCATTTGAAACTACCAAAAACCTGGAATCTTACCGAAAGAAAAAGATTCGAGCACAAAGAAATTACTTGGTTTAAAATCCTCGTGAATAATTCATTGGATATTGTACCTTGATGGAAGAAAACGATAATTAAAAGCACATTTAGTTAACATTCATATATAAAAGAATTGTAAATAATCTCGGTTAGTCCTTATAAAATATATCTCAACCGGTTGATGACATTATGTCGAATAACTTAAAATGGATTAAAAATTGACTCAGTAAACCATTTCTGCAGTTTTCGAAATCTAGGTCAGTCCTTTAAACCAATATTAACTCACCTTAGGAACGCTATAGTAATGTAAATTATAAATTATGTGCCTCTTACTAAAGTAGAAACTTCTACATTATAACCGTTAAAAGTTATCAGCATTATTGTATCCATGAGCCATTATTACATACGTTAATGGCTATTTTTATTTGATGAAATAGTGAATGTTAGTGCGCGAAGTTTCGTATATAGCCTTAGTATAGGAATATTATACTGTATACCACAGTCTACCATCGGTATTTCTTATAATACGCCTTTATTCTCAATTTTACCTGTTCTCGGAACTGCTTTTTTAACGTTTAATTTTAATATATTTGTTGATGTTGCTATCAATTGTTGCTACCAATTCATGCCTAAAAGTTTTTTAACTTGTTCTGTATCGCTTTCTAATGGTTTGAGCAAAAATAATTTCGGGTCACTGAAAATGGAATTTCATAAACCTCGTCTTGGAATAATGCATTCTGTCTTTCGCGAAATAGGGTGAATTTGTTCATGAACTTACTGTTCTAAGTCCAATCATCTCATTCTGTACTAAATACTTTTAGTTACTTTACTGATGATACTGTTACTACTTGCATTGCTCTGGAAGTTATTTTGATAATTTTATCTCTTTGCTAATGTGATGTGATAAACTAAGCTGAATCTTGTGTTAGGCTCTACGTTACGCACAGCTGTCTGAGTGACTTCTCATCCAAGTTCACTGTTCATAAATAAAAATAGGAGGCAAAGTGACCCCTGTATATTCTCACAGAAATCTCAAAGACCTAGCCTCGCTCTAAATGTATTATCAAAAAGCATATTCTGATAAAGGAGTTTCAGTAATTTATGACCCAGTGCAAAAGACGTAAGTAGGCGTAAATGACTTAATTCCGGTTGTTGAGTTTTTTATGGATACTATCTCAGATGGTCGGTTCTACGTGAAGGAAAATTCAAGATATTTACACCAAGGTAAGCTAGGGTTTAATTACCTTGTGACATATCGTGAGAGCGAAATGGGTTGGGCTATCTCAATCTTCATGCGGTTGGTCACAAAGACTATTCACCATCTTCGCTCTACATCGTCTAAACTTTTCTATTTAAAACAAAAACTATCTGCATGAATTCCATATTCCAAATACCGCCCCACACATTTCCGGCATTTTATCTTAAAAATCTCATCCGTGACAAAGTAACTTATAAATTGCATATAAGACCCAGCTTTTAGGAGAGCTTATCCAACAGCTACACGTAGTTCTATGGCCATCATTAATTACGTCTATTAAATCTTTATCACCAATAACGTTCAGCAATGCCACTCAATATGTTGTGTAATTAATTGACTCCACACGATAATTTCTACTACATTTGCTGGAATTTATGTCTAATGACTGCTGATTCGTTCATTTAACCAGTCTATTCAAGCCTTAGTGTTATTTTATCTTATCAGGTACACGTATCTTTTTGCATGTTTTATTTCATCAAACAGTAATACAGATGACAGGGCCACACTCGGTAGATTATTTATGTATATAGGAAAGGAAAAGATCCAAGTATTGCCCCTTGGAAAAATCTCTACACGGATTTGCACTCTGAAAAAGTATCGTCCGAGAAAGTCAATTATCCGACTAATTCTAAGATTCTCCAGTTTTATTTTAAAATCTAAGCAAGAGACATTACCAAAAGCTTTACCTAAATCCATAAAAATTGCATCTATCGGAATATTTCTTTCGCTAAAATCTATTCATCTCTTGCAATGATAAAATTGTTTGATCATGATAGTCTGTTTTGAAAACCATACTTTTTCTTTGCTTATGGGAAGTAGAATATTAGCCTAATTAAGTGTTGCACTAGTTGTCTAACATATTCATTGCTAACTGTAACTTATCTAGGCACCCGATTGCCATTGAGCTGACCTACTTCATAAAGGTGTACGTATTTACTGCGATGTATGCGTCTGATTGACTTTCCTGACCCCAAAGTCTATTGTTTTCACTCAGCTAGCTGACTACTACCTCCGAATGCCTTAATAAGACCGAATGAAAAGTTTGCTCTCTTCAAAATGCCCTCATGCGGCAACGTGTTTATAAACTTAATAACTGACTGGCTGCCCTTACGTGGTAAGTGCTATTTTCTTCATCTAAGTGAAGGGAAAGAAGATCAACTTTCGGTCTTTAGACGGGATTACTGAATACAGAGGGTTTATCCAGTGCAGTTGGAAAACTGATTCCAAACTAATGACGTACATGGATTTCAGAATCTTGAGGAAACAAATGGCGCAAGGTTTTTTAAGATCTTATGTAAACACAAATAGGTTTATGAACCTGTTTTTGGTCATTAGTTACTATTGGACTGCATCTAACTTCGTTCCATTTGCTTGTAGTCCGAGTCTTTAGTTCTCTCCTTGTTTCAGCTTGGCTACTCTTGTAATATCCCAGTCGATGCACACTTAATCTATGACCCATACTATTTTTGGTGCTTAGTTGTATCAAATTTTATATGAGTGAAATGTTAAGCTTACTACTGGGAAAGTTGATATTTATAGTCAGTGGCAGTAGTAACTTCCAGCTCAATGCAAACAAAGTAAGAACTTACTACTGCTTGTGGCTCAGAAACAAAGTAGTGCCAATGAGTGTTTGCTAAGTATATTTCATTCTGTTTCTGAAAAGCTACTACAATAACCGCTGATTCTCCAATTTTTCCCATTCATAACTGACTTTCTTAGGTTGAAGTTTATCTAAGCGTATTATTTCCTTTCTTCAAATTATAATACCCTCTTCAAAAAATTGATTAATCACTAGCCACACCTCCAAAAGGATTTTGATTTTCAGAAACGCATTCACAAACCTTTTACTTTTTCATCTTTACTGAATTAAATTCATTTTAATCTACTGATTTCTACAGTTTCTTAAATCATCTCAAACGATATTTGTTATTTTTCATTTACTGAGTTATTTATTTTTTTAACCAGGTGTATCATACAGTTGAATAATGTTGGAAGAAGAACATTTTAATCCAGACTTTCGTACGCAAAGAAGAAAATCTACTAGAAAGAGTCTTCTTCTTCCTGTTCTGACTGAACAGATTTTAGATGAACAGCCTTCATCTAATGATGTCAACAGAAATAATGAAATTGATGACGATGAAGTGACCGATGAACTTGCTAAAAAGTATCAAGATGAAAGTAGAAAGTGGGATCAGTTGGTGGAAGAATATGAAACAGGTTTAATTTCAGCCAGTAATCAAATCGATATGCCTTCTGAAGAATGGATCAAAACAGATCGTGTGACGCGTAAATATAAGGATATCATATATCCGCAAAAGTATTTTGATTCATATGATTCCCTTGACAGTGTAGCGGACTCTCTTCTAGAAACACATAATGATATATTTTTTGAGTTAGAGAAACTTCCTTATTTAATCGAAAAACAGGACATATTTCTGAAGAGTTTTCAAAAAAAATTGCACTTAAAACAACATGTTTTTCAAGATTCACTCTTTGGTTCTGCATCGTCAATGTCTGTTTTATCTGAATACCTTGGAGCTGAAACATAACATTCTTTTTAAAAAATACTTACATCAACATTTATCCTGTTAGGAAATTCATAACTGATAATTAAATCTCGTTAGAAAATTCCTGATACACAGCACTGTTATTTTCATAAAGATTAGTGTTTCATATAAAATAAAAATTCACTGATTAGCAAGCACTACCACCCTTTTTGTTTGCCGACGAAGCTCATTCTTCGACAAAACAGAAATCTATATTCCTCTCATGAAGTTTTAATGATCTTAGCATTGAAACTTGAAATTACTTAATACCTAGTCTCCATGGACTTATTTTCGTTATTAGAATTCACTCAGATAATTCCCACTAACTTCAGAACTAAAATATACTAAACAATTTTCTTGTTACCTTGGGTAGGGCGTGAACCGATAACTTGAAGTAACATTTTAAATCAAGTAACACTCGTCACTCGGTTACATTTGTTTCTCAAATATTTCGCTGCGAAGCTAGTGGATGTGAAAAAGGAGTTTTTCTTCGATATTGTATAAATCTTTACTCCGTAAGCACGGTTCTTATCCACTTTCCAGGATTTATTTGACTGTCACTTTTGCTCCTAAACTTAAATCATGCAAAGTTAAACTGAAGAATTGTTTACTTACAATTGGTTTTGTATTATTGGCTGTCTATGTACCATTCAACACCAGCTTACTACGTGCGTCTGTTAACCACATTCAACCATTTTCAGACGAAGAGTAGAGTTTTCATTGTTATCTGGTCTCATAAGATATTAGAAACAACTTTCCAACATATCTATTTCTTAACTAATCATGTATTTATTCTATCTCTGCCAAATCCCAATCTATCCAGCGCCTTTTTTCAAATTGTGGATGATATTGTATTGTACATGCAAATTTACGTGGTAATTATTATAGACATATTTCATTGAAAGAATAAATTTCCAAAGTTTATTTAAGACAATTAGGTATGTATGTACTACAAGTACGGTGCTAAAAAGACAAAAAAATAATTAAGTTTTCGAAATCATGGTATTCTTGACATTTTTATTCACATTGGATGCTTTTGTCATAGGCCCGATGTTATAGATCGAACAAATTCTTCGTAGTGTACGTTACCGTCACTATCGACTTTAGCTTTACTTAGCATTGCTTCCATTTCCACTTCAGTCAGACTTTCACCCAGTGTACAAAGTGCACGACTAAGTTCAGAAGCTGGGATGAAGCCATTATTTTCAACGTCAAATGTACGAAAAGCTTCGATAATATCTGATTCTGTGTATATATCATTGTACTTTCTTGATGCTATTTTACAAAACTGATCAAATGTCATACCTTCACTAAGTGCTGTCTTTTCCTTGTCCACTTCACTGATCAACTCCTGAAATTCAAGTGATACCAATTGTAATTAACTCAATGACTACATAAGCCAGTAGTAAGTAGAGCAGTAATTTACCTGCTATTTACGTAAATAATAAGTACAAATACTAATAAAATGCCTGTCGTTTTCTCCTGCATTCTTTCACTACGTTTACGTAAGTTGCTTATCTTCGACCATAGGTGTCTCCGAAGCATTGCTTATGTATCATGGCACAATCGAATAAGGAATGCTGTCGTTAGGAAACGAGCACTAGTTAAGGATAGTAAGTCAGTAGACGAAGTACTGAAACTTCATAAATTCAGGTGGTTAGGACATGTGTTACGTATGTCTAACCACCGGCTGCCTCGTCAAGCTATGTTTTGCGACGTAGGAATATGTTGGGAGAAAGCTGGGGGTGACCAGACCAAAACATGGCACAAATCCATGCACTCTCTGACAAGTGGCCTTATTCATGTAGGTAGGTGTCGACTACTTGGTTGGGGCCTATGAGATCATAGTAGTCGATGGTTAGAGACCCTAATTGACATGGCTGAAAACCGTTTGCAGTGGTGCAGGTGCATTCATTCTTTGTGTTCTCCCAAATTGTAAGCTTCTGAATTCCTCACCACATTTATCTATTTCTTTTTAAGTTTACTTCACTAGATTCTACTTCTTGAATGATATCTTCGAACCCTAATCTCTCCGATTACTGCCAATACTTTCACTACCTCTACTACTATGGGATTTGAATTGGCCATTACATTTCTGTGCTAATGTGTTTTGGCAGCTTGAACTGATGTACTACTTACGTACGAAGTTCGACGTTGCTGCGGATTGATTGACGTGATTATGTTGCCTTAAGGACAGGACTTACGACTTCGTTGTTCAGTTACATAGATTATTGGCTGCACTATATTTTTACCTACATTCTCGATCTCTAAACATGATAGTTCAGTGTTTTTGCTTTACTATTTAGTATATTGCGGTTAAGCTCAGTTGTGTTCACATCAAATAGGAGTTATACTGTCCCGTCAAGTGTAATGGTTCATTGAAGTGAACAGAAGCAACGATAGGATTTTAGTTGTGCAGTTAAAATGCAGTGAAAGACTTTGAATTATACTAACTAGCTACAACAATAGTGTAAACAGTTTCTTGATAGTTTGTGTTTAAATTACCCAATACCACTAATATTTGTCTTTGATAAGTGTTTTGTACATATTCAGACAAAAGAAGGGGAAGAATAAGTGTCAACACATTCAGTATATCGTTTGCACTAAATCTTAATGTATATACTATGAAAGAATATAGCATTTTCCTTGATTTCCTTGTTTTGTGTCTGTGAAGATTCTATGTATTAATTTACTTGCTTTGTCAGAACAAGTAGCAGCTTGCATATTCGTCGACTTATAGCTTATCCCAGCTAGAATTATATGAGTCACTGGACTCACTACTGTAAATGAATATGTTTCGTTTTTTCACCATAAGTTCAACCAGTGTATGTAATCATTTTCTACAATCTTAAGAATGGGTTTTTCTGAAATTTCAAAACAGATAAACTCACTTCGATTTCTAAGTTTGATGGCATCAGACCCACTCTTCTTATTAATAAGGTTATTTCTGCGGCTGGTACTTTTCCCGTTTTATCAGGGTCTAATACATCATATTGCTCCTTATATTCTGTTATCGTCTCTTCCGTTAGCTTAGCATCCTTTTTCTTGGCAGATGATGTCATTTTCTAACCTACAACAGGATTTGTTGAATATGGCTTCAAATAGTTTGTTATCATAAGGCAAAATCATTCAAAAAAGAGTAAGCCTAGTTACATTAAAGTACTGACTTTTCACGAGTGGACCTTCCAACAGAATATTCACTTGTTGACTTAGAATATACCGATGATATAGTTCTACTTGGTGAAGACGGCGACAAAATTCAGTGTCTCCTGACTACCCTAAGCAACAGTGCAAGCATGTTCGGGATGCGGTTTTCCCCTCGAAATGCAAAATGTTGCTTCAAGATTGGGTTTCATCGGCACCTGAACTAGTGATAGGGAGTGAAGTAGTCGAGCGTGTAGACCGCTTCACTTACCTTGGGAGTCTCATCAGTTCCGATGGCCTGGTGACTGACGAGATCTCAGCTCGGATACAGAAGGCTCGATTAGCTTTTGCGAACCTGCGTCACTTATGGCGTAGGCGTGATATCAGTTCTGTAATTAAAGGACGAGTGTACTGTGCAGCAGTTCGCTCCGTTCTCCTATATGGCTGTGAAACATGGCCAGTGAGAGTAGAAGATATTCGTAGGTTTGTGGTATCCGATCATAGATGTCTCAGAAGCATTGCTGATGTATCCTGGGATGACCGAGTAAGCAATGCTGTCGTTAGGATACGAGTACTAGGTAAGGATGGCAGGTCAATAGATGAAGTATTGAAACTTCATCAGTTGGGTTGGTTGGGACATGTGTTGCGTATGTCTAACCACCGACTGCCTCATCGAGCTGTTTTGCGACGTAGGAATATGTTGGAAGAAAGTTAGAGGTGGCCAGACCAAAACATGGCAGAAATCCATGAAGTCACTGACAAGTGGGTTGAGTTATGTCGGTAGGTGTCGACTACCACGAGATGGTAGTAACCTATGGTTAGAGACCTTGAACGACATCACTCAAAATCGTTTGCAATGGCCCAAGTGCATCCACTCGTGTTCTGTCAAATCCTAATCCTCTGTATTGTTCGTCACATCTATCCTCCTCTTTTTCAATTGATTTCACCAGATTATACTTCTTGAATAATATCTTAGGACTCTTATCTCTGATTACTGATAATACTTCTACTACCTCTACTACTATGGGTTTGAATCGATTATTGCGTCTCTGTCTCAATGTGGTATGGCAACATGAACTGACGTACGTACGTACATAGTTCTACGTTATAAGTGACTGACACTGAAGTACTAGAATTTCGTATGACGTTTTATCTCTTTGTTTCAAGTGTATGTACTCAGGGTTCCAGCGGAAATCATTATCGGTAATAATTTTAGCTACTTCTGTAAGTGTGGAATGTTGCGTGTTTTAGTTGACATCCAAAAAACTAGAATGATATATTAATAAGACGTTTAAATGAAGAAACTGAAATCAAGTTGATCATTCCTGCTCATGATCCCCTTCCAGTTGATAAGTTCGTTTAAAGTACTAGTTTGTACGTAGTTAACTAGAAATTGTAACTGATATACAGAGCTGGCCATGCTTGTATAAATCACTGAACAGTGATTTCTAGGCTATCTGCTGTTAACTGAGACCAATCGGTTATTATCTATTTTAAATTTAGAAAGTTTTTCGATAAGGTACTCGATGCTGGTATTACAATTTTCCAAAATCGAATATGTATTTTTTGAAATAAATACGTAGTCATGTCTCTCTTTTTGTTTTTGCGGTACATCTTAAATGTCAGAAACTAATCTGGCTACGAAATGAGCATTGATATTATGTGGAGAGTTATACGATCGTACTTGTGTGACCAGTAACTATGGATATCAAGGTGAAAATCGAAACATTAAAACCAGTATCACGTAGGAATGGCTTTCCCAATAACCCTGACATCCAATAGAAACGTTTATTTCTTATCTCGAAAATGAGATGTGTTTTTCGTGTCATTAACTGATGCAATAACCTCTAGATTGAAATCCCGAAAAGCAAATTGGTAACGCCCTTAAGCTACATTCCACTAACTGTCAGTTTCGGTTTTCATATTTTTCGATATATATCTTTTTCACGAGCTAGCATAATCCCATTCATTTATTTCCGCCCGTTTCTTGTTTGTTCGGTAAGGTCCCAGGTACTTCTTAGTGTCCAATGAATGTGGGTTTAGCCACTCAACAGCACTAATTGTAGTCGTTTGGCAGTTTGTGAATTTGTCTGTCCCGTGATTTGAATGAGTACGTTCGTTTCCGGAAAGTAGGATTTACGAATACCTGCGGCTATCACATTACCAGAAGAGAGATCACTTAGTTGCAATGCAGAGAATAATAATGTGAAAATTCTGATGATAAAATGAAGATATCAGAACTAAGTAAATAAATGTATAACTTAGTTTATCGTTTGTTAGTGAAAATGGTTCAGGAGGGCCAGAGTATAAGCTAGGGCTTGGAAAGCAGTATGATAATCGAGACAGATGAAGTTCATAATCTGAGATGGCAACAAAAACAACCAGCAAGTTTCGAAACACGTATCATGAGGAATTGGTCAGAGAGGAAGATGATAATCCGTATGTGAGAAAGTGGTTAAAAAGTCTTCTCTGAGAACTATCCACTGAAGGGGCCTATGGTCACCTCCGCTGGGACAGTTGAAACAACGAGAAAAAGTGTGCACGAACCTAGGTGCTCGCTTTTAGATGCCCATTTTCGAAATTCTCACAATTAGGAGGTTTTCTTTTTGTCATGAACCTAGAGAGATGCTAAGGTTTCGACTGAATTTTGGCGAAAGACACTCCTGTCACTTCAAACTTGACATTGCATTTGTTTCTCCATGGCAAGTAAGAACTACTGTAAGAATCCTTTAGAGAGGCCTTTCACTTGTACCAGGCTCTTCTTTTACGCCTGTAGCAAGCGTTCAATTCCCCACCTAACTCAAGTTCCTCACTTTCCTAGTAATGCCAGTGATCATCTACTGGTAGCTTCCATCGTTCCCGTGGCCACGGGGAATATAGAAGATTCTCCCCTACTCGCGTATAAGTTGCCCTAGTGTAGCAGAGGCAGGGCTTGCTTTAGTCCTGCCTGAGTGTTTCGCTTATGACCGTGTTACACATGAGTGAGCCACGGCCACAGCTTTTTAATGGTGTATGGACGTGAACGTCATCGACCACGAGCTGATCACTTGTTAACAAACAATACGTGTTTGAGGATTTCCCACCTTTCGTCCTCATAGTGGCGCTGCATACGTGCTCAGTCAGCCCAGAGCTTCTAATGGCTGCGCCAAATCTTCTTTGGATCCAACTGGTAAGACTGTAACCTGTCATCCGGGATTCAGAGATGGAGCGGTAAAATTTCCTGCTTAGAGTATTTGGTCTAACCCTAGTGATGGCAGTTGCAGTATTGCCTGAGTCGGTTTGACTTTCTGGGCCTTAGTACTTGAGATTGGAGCAGTAAAACCCTTCAGTCAAGTATCTTGTTCCAATGTGTTGAAGCAACACTAGTGCGATTCTGCCCCACTGGTCAGTTGGGGTTTCATGCATTTTTGCGGCCTTGAAATTGCTGTTTATATATAACACCACTCCGCCTCCTGTTCGGTGTGCCTTGATACTTCGTAAACTTCCATGCTTTGCAAGCTCACTTCATCGTCTTCAGTGTCGAGGGATAGCCATGCTTCAGGTAGGGCTATGATCTTCAGGTGCACCTGACAGCAAAGATTCCTGATTTCTAATAGCTTACCCCTTAGTCCTCTTGCATTGATATAGAGGTACTTGGTGGTTTGTCTCTTCAACTGGTGCACCTCTGCAGCAACAGCCTTTGTGGGATTGTCGAACGTGCTGTTTAAGCCGAGTTGACCACGAGAATGAATAAATTTTAACTGAGAGTGTCTTGGACGTTAGAAGGATTTCTTCGGCAACTTGTGTTGACTCTAAGGTTAGGCTCAACGGAAGATGTTTCCCTTCGACAACGTTCTGACTCTTGAAAAGACAGGGTACTTCTTATTCCATGAATCGCAAAGATTGAAGAAGCCACTAATTTTTGTAAATCATTGTTAGATCACTTGTAAATCTCCTCATATGGAGAACGTAGATTTAATCTGTTCATCCATAAGATGCAGTTATTTAACTTGAGGCCATGAAATGATTCGATAACCCATCTTTGAGCGTGTCGCTACGCTGTTTTGTTAATCTTCAATAAAGGAGATGCAGTTGTTACTGTGCACTATAATATAAAGATCAGCTTGGTGAGGTGTAAGAAGTGTATTCGATGTGCATTTCTAGATACTCTTCTATAATTAACTCTAGACAGTGACTACTGCTACTAAAGGAGTTTACTAACACAAACATCAACAGCTCAATAACCGACTGCCTGTGTTCTTACTTCTTTAGAAAAGTACAATAAACTATATTGGGGGAAAGCGTTCAAAGTCCTTACCAGCTCAAAAATGTGTGCCACAATGGGCCGTTCTTACCTCTTTTATTTTCTCATTTTCCTGCATGATCAGGCGTCTCCTACAGAAAACACTTTTAGTAAGCATGTGGCTGATCTCATGGTATGTATGCTGATCACTACCTCTTCACATACCTATCAAATGAACAACTTCTTGTCGTTCATTGTTGTGCGACTCGGAAAAATGCCAGAAATCCATAATTGACATCGATCAAACAACGGTAGGGTTAATAAGAACAATATGATAAGTAGAAAACAAGGTGGATTTCATGTGTAGTTTAATCTATAATAATTGTTACTAGTAATAATATCTCGGTATAGATTCTGAAAAAATTAGTCAAATAGATACTCAACAACACGAAGGCGAAACAATTAAAAATAGCAACGTAGTTTTTCCGAACGGAAAAGTCATTGCACCCTCTTCTCAGAAGTGCCATTACTCGGGCTGACGCTGTTGCCACCATCGCTTACCTTGTCCACGCTCAAACATCCATTTGTGTTATGAACTGAAGCTACACTAGAATTGATTGACGAAACCGCACTACTTACAGTGATTTCACCCTCTTTAACATCACATTTTTTATTCACATCGATCACGCCATCAATAGACACATGAGGTTTCACCTCACCTTTATCGTTGTTATTATACACAGTGATATTTCCACACTTCGTAGTTGTTGACGAATTGCGAGATAGTTGGCAAGCAGGCTTTAGCGGTAAGCTACCGCTGCTGCCACTTACACTAACACTATCAATATTGCTATGACAACTTGAACTAGTATGAGACTGTCCATCACCTGACTGCGAACATACATCAGCCGGACTCGCTAAGCTACTATTATCTTTCGCTCCACTACTATGATACTTCGTAGAACTAGAGACAGTAGTCCGCAGACATCCTGATTGTGCAACAACATGAAGTGCTGTGCCACTTTTCTTGCTTGCTATCCTAAGATCAGCTGTAGGTCATGGCAGATAAATTACCCTACGTGAAGGTTTCCGAACATAAGCTGCACCCCATACAGCCAAACCTGTTTCATCTTTATTTATATTCACGGCCTCCATTACCCTCTGCTTGCTGGAATCTAAATTCCTATTCTTTGCCAAACGAGTGGAATTAGCATTCCAAGCAGTTAGGGGACGTCTACCATCACATTTCTGGGGTACTTCTTGATGCCTGAACCCTCTACTTGTTTACTTCTGCGCTATCCTCGAAAAAACCTCCTTATCCTCTACAGACACTTACTTCTCACTAGGATAGACGTCAACAGGTTCCAAGTCACAAGGCTTACATATTCGGTCTTCAGTAGATTTTACTTTACTAACACTATTAAAAACCTTTCTAATTTCCGGGCGTGATAAAGGTTCAAAAAGTTTGAAGAATTCTTATGTCCCGATCGCAGATGACTATTGACCTTCGTATCATGTCCTGTACTCGGGTGATCATACATATCTACTACTAGCTATCTTTGCACGGGACGATATAAACTCTCTGAGTTCTGCAAATGTGGGCTCCCTATCCTCATCACTCCATCTAACTGCCAGCTGTGCCCACTGAACTTGCATGCGATGAGGTAACAGCTTCACTATTCGTTACAAAGTTGCTAAAGAATTCAAATCAGTGGTGCGATTTATTTGCTCCAACACCAAGGTGCATTGTTCCATTTCGATACCTAGGTTCGATTGCTGCTCGGCGTCATTATAACTAACGTTCCCAGGATGAAACAGCTCTTCCAACATTTGCCCAGCTTTAACGTGAGATTGCGCGAATAGTCGTTTTAGGATTTCTTTAGCCCTTTTATATCCCACAGACGCATCTAACATCACGCAACATTCGATGACTGTTTTAGCCTTACCCTGGCAGTATTGAATCAAATAGAGTATACGCAAGTTATCGTCATCGACTGAAGATTCGACATAAGTTTCAAAATGATGTATAAACTTACAGTATTCAGGGGGTTGTCCATCAAAGTAGCTTAACTCAATCTTTGGTAATTCTAAGCCTGCAACCGGCGCTATAGACATGAAATTTTTTCCAGATACTTCAAAATTATCAATTAAACTTTTAGTGCCTTCCAACAACGGCTTACTATAAAATATGCTGCTTTTATGATCTTCCCTATCTGAAAGTGAACCATATAAATTACAAGAGGTATAAGGCACTTGCTTTATAGAAAAAGGATTCGTAGTTCTGTTTGTCTTCATGGATTCCAACCAGACTTGAGCTTGACTTCTTCTTACGAGAATTCATTGTAATACCTGCAATTCAGGAAAAAGAAACTCCAAATTAGTGACACTGCATAGGGTTTTAAACTCCAATCTACCAATATTAATCAGAAATTAGAATTCACTGGTTCCGTCTTCTTGAAATACCGTTGAGCTGCGATAACTAAAATATTCTTCTTCTTCAAATATTGTTTAGAACTGTAAGGTTTTAGAGTGGATTCTGAAATCGGGAAAACAGTTCTAGAAGTTTTGATATGCCTCTTCCCTGGATATTCCCAACAGAAAGCAATTTATCTGGGTAAGAAAGGGCTCTAAACAATAATACACTGAATATGTTTCCAATTCTGGAAGAATGCTTCCGTTTAGGTCCAAAAGTGCACCCTTCCATTCCATATGTACATTTACCCGCCAGGGTATCAAATCCGATATGGCATTATACACTTCAATAGAAAGCATAGAAACTCCAATAAAAGTACAAAAAATTGAAACTATAACAAAATACAAATATTAACATCCCAAAATGGGATTAAACAGACCACCAAAATGTAGCACAGAAAGAGTCAGTAAGAACATATTAAAAAAAGCCATCAAATCGATTCCGGATTGTTGTAATATATTTCGGTAATTTCACATAAAACCCCACTAGTTTCCGCTTTGATGAGTTTCATGTAAATAAACTACGGGCCGGTTCGACATCCAAGCATATAATTACATAATTACGCCTGTTACCCCCAATCTAGCATAGGCAGCCGACTGGCATTCGCCAGCCACTTCTGTTCTTGACCTTCCCTTCCAATTACATCCAATTGCTATTCATACTTTTCATATCTGTCTCCCATTTTCGGAGCCGTATGCTCCTTGGTCTACCACTCTTCCTTTTGTCCTGGAGATTCTAGGTTTGAGCTTGCATTTCGAACGAGTCAGATGGCCTCTACAATGTTTCCTGTGCAACTCTAGTCGCTTTTCCAAATTTCTTGTTCAGCTAGAATGCGGTTCGTTCCACAATGATCCGTAGTGTCGTGATTTGGTTGGTATACGATCGATGTTTACGAAATCCAGCCTACCGATCTTAAAGCTGAGGGTCTACCAGACATTTTATCCGGTTTAACAACACTTGTAGACTTTTTCTGGTATGGAGATTAGAGAAGTGCCTTTTTAGTTCTCACACTTGTTGAGATCTCCTCTCTTATGTACCTTGACCATTTGTCTTTCTTTCCAGTTTGTCGGTACTTGTTCTTCCTTCTAAGCTTTGCTAATCAGAGCATGAAGCATGTTTAGAGTTACTGCCATGTCCACTCTCAGCGCCTCATATGGTATGTTGTCTGATTCGGCTACTTTGCTGCTCCTGATTTGCTGGATGACCATGATGACTTCTTCAATTATTGATGGATGAACATGAATTGGGAGGTCTGTATGTGCTGCTCCAATCTTGGGTAAGGTCACTGAGGTTGTTGTATCCAAGAGTTCTTCAGAGTGTTCTGCTCACCTGTTTCATTGTTCTCCAATGTCGGTGATTGTATTTTTCTTCTTGTTTTTCACTGGTTGTTCTCGCTTACGATATTTTGCAGCAAGCTTCTTCGTCGAATCATGTTGTTGACCCAAGTTTCCTTCTGTTGCTATCATTGCTAGTTTTTGGTTAACCAAGAACTAGGTCTTTCACATATTTACATTTTTCAGCTTTAATGCTTATCTTAACTAGCTTGTTTGCTTCTGTGTATTCAGCTTGTGTCTTGGTTTTCTATACTACTGTTAGGTTGTTACTAATAGTTATCTTCCTGCTCTTTCTTTCTTGAATTTTATGCATAGTATGGACAGAGATCCATTCCTTGTGATGATGGTTCTTGAGGCCAGAAACCTCACGATATGCTGAAGTTATAGTTGCCTTGATGCATCTACAGATGTTCTCTATAGTAGTTTCCTCTTCATCGAGTAGGTCATGAAATGCCTGGAACCTATTGCTTAGAGCTAAATTCACGTTCGTTTCTCCACTTTTATCGGGGTTTGGGACCCACAGCTAGCGCATTAGTGCTCCATACCTAGTTTGGTCCTCTGTAGTATCGAGTACCTGTGTGGTTTTGCAACACGACTGAGTTGTACTATTCTGGTTGTTGTATTTCCGCCTGAACACCGATGTAGCACTTCTCTTGCTTACTGAACATCAATTTATGTAGTATTTTATAGTTGAGTACTGACATAGAGTGTTATTATAGTTCACTTATCTTTACATCTGCAATCTTTCATTATGTTAATGTTAATTTTTTGGCAGCATTGTAATTTAGATATATTTCATCTTTTTTAAGTGGCGAACCCCTTTGATTTATTCATTGGATTGATAAGTGTTATAAACTAATAGTTAAATTATGAATCTGTTTCAAATTTTAGACTTCGTTTAACGCTAATAGCAAAACAGACATTAATCTTACATTACTTTTGACTTATTATTTAGTCGGTCTAGTCGAGATTTACTATGATCACTAATGCAAACCAATTACGTTCTCGTCACTAAGTGAATCAAGGACAAAGAAGAAGAGTTAATCGATACGAGGGAATATATATGCTGGTGATTTCGTTATATCAAAGTAATACGAAAATCGTACTAGATAAGAGGTTCGAAGTGACAGAGAACAGTATGACCGAAATGGTAGCAAACCAAACGGGAAGTTTCGGCTTACAAAGTACAGATATACAATAGGCTTACAAAAAGTATCACTGGTACAACTGGTTATAATAATGAATGTTTCTATTAAACTAATCGCGTTCTCTTCATAAAGTAAAGTCACTACAATAACCTCAGATTGCAACATGTTACTCCAACTAAAAGTGAGTAATATTCAAACTAATAGATGGAAAAAATTATCGAAAACATGGAAAACAATAACGAAGGTAACAAAATTAAAGACAAGATAAATAAAAGAGGTAAATTTCAGATGAATTTATAAAATTAAGCAGTGAAAATTGCAGTGATTTACTCTCTTCAAGTTTTCAAATCATCATTATCATAGAAAAGTAACTGTACTTTCAGGTTACTTTTGACTGAGTTTTTATTGAGGTCTGAGTTTTGTATCCTTACTTAATCGTTAGAAGTATACGCGAATAGAATTTTCTTCAAGTTATATGGAAGTATCCTGAAAAATGTATGATCATCGCTTAAATGATTTTCAAGTGTGTTGTGTCACATTTCGGCTAAATCGTTTTCCCCTCATTCTGTCATGTTACTTCACTTTTGAATATCTGTATGCTATCAGCTAACATTCTGATATGGAAATCACTTCTAATAAACTGACTATTTAATTATCTTTTCCATCAATCGTTTTGAACATTATCGTTTCCTGAAATATACGTTTCAAAAGTAGTAGTAATTCTTCAACCTTAAATTAGAGCTGTGATTCGAAAGTTAAATGATTTTTAATAATAATAATAATAATAATAATAATAATAATAATAGTCTAACTCCAATTTCCCTGTATGCGTTTATTCGATAAACGCATCGTCAATAGTCCTAAGACTTGAGGCGAAAAATCCATAGGTGAATTACCTCCATCATCTTTTCAGTGTTATTCAAAAAATTCTTATATTTCAGTATGTCCTGATTACAGAGTTTCTGACTTCATTTTAAGCTTTCCTATGCACAACAAGTGTTCATAAATATTTTATTCTGAAGTCATTAGTATACTTATATGCATAAGTTAGTAGTCTGCTAAATGTTACGTTAATTTGAAAAAGTAATAGTATGTTTTGAAAAGTTTTCAGTATGGTTGATGGCAACTGAAAAATTGTTGGAGACGTTAAATCCCCAGAACTCACTTGATAAATGGTTTAATTTAGATTTTATGTTCCGAGCATGGGCTGATCAATTGACCTTGAGATTGCATCTCCCACCAGGAAAATCCATGGCTGTGATTGGTTGCTGTGTATTTTAGTGTGCTACTTTTGTGACTGTCTCAAGGGCGTTTCCATGATGTATAAATAAACGAGATTTGTGTGCTTGAATGCACTGTGCTTGCTGGGGGTTCGTAGAATATACTTTCTACGCTATATCAAGACTTTTGGTTAGTTGTTGGATCAGGGCAGCCTACTTCATTGTCTCTTTCGCGTTTATCGACTAAGGTGCACCCGTAATCGTTTGAAGCATACCTAGTGACGAACCTAACAAAAATGGTGTTTGATCTAGTTTGATATTTATAAGTAAAGAATATCTGAATATAAGATATATATTCCGTCGCTTCCCTTGTGTTGTGATGTTTATGTAGAAAGTAGTCATTATTTCAGTGATTTTAAACATTACATTTTCATGCCTATTTTAGTGCAAACATTTTTTGAACATATTGATATGAAAATAAAATTTGAAGAACACTATGACGTTCATATTCTTGTTCCCATCATGTGCCTGTAATTTTTAGGACTTAAAAGAAAGCAATTCAATAATAGATGACTATTAAACTAACTGAGAAATTAGAAATAATCGTTATATAAAAACAGATAACAGGTTCATATCTATATTACGTCATATTAATCTTGTAACGTTATGATTCAAAAAAGCACGCATTATTATTTCTACATTTTAAACAATCAGTATGACATCAACTTGATTTAAACAGAGATATGATTATTATCCACGTTATGATATCATACTATCCTTTAAGTGGTGATGTAACGTAAGGTAACGTGACCAGATACTTCGATAGAATTTTGCGCTACAAGGTCTGAAACTAGTTGACATGAGGCTATGGAATTCGATAGCTAGCCAGCTGGAACCTATTAACAAAGCTTACTAGCAGTCCTCAGTGACTGAATATTCTCTGTAGAATAGAAACCTTTATTAGTTTAAATTCGCTGTTCCTGAGTATATCTACAGCGTTGAATTTAAGTCCATCAAAGGGCATTGTTTGCCGGAATCATGTAAGTGAGAACGAGGATTCGTGGTTACCTGAAGATTGTTTTTACGATGTCAGTTTTTAACAACTAGTTATAATATTTAAGAAGGGGTAGAAAAGTGTGAGAACTTATATTTCAAAATATTTGTGTAATACAATCGCATAAGCAAAGTCCATGATTCTCATCAAACTTAATAAATTCCTCTCATGAAATGAAATTCAAAGAGTGGAACGCATTTTTGACGTAACTTGTTTATACTTATTAGAATGTACTGAATTCACTGTAATGGAGGACGTTAACACCTTTACGTATCTGAGCAGCATCATCGACGAGAAAGGTGGATCCGATGCAGATGTGACGGTGCGGATTGGGAAAGCAAGGGCTGCGTTTGTGCAATTGAAAAATATCTGGAACTCCAAACAACTTTCAACCAAAACCAAAATAAGAATTTTCAATACAAATGTCAAGGCATTTCTACTGTATGGAGCAGAAACGTGGAGAACTACGAAAGCCATCATCCAGAAGATACAAGTATTATTGAACAGTTGTCTACACAAAATACTTCGAATTCGTTGGCCGTCCAATGGGAAACATCCATTTGGAGTGACATCGGCAGTTAGTACGACCAATAGGAAACAACATTTGTAAGTATGTGACATTGATAGCTAGGACGATTATAATATTGACCAGTAGGAATCGACCAATAGAATTAGACATACAAAAATTAATTCTCTTAAAATATTTGATGAATGTCCTAACACATTTATTTGATAGAAAACAATACAAAAATTTAAGAACGTATGTTTGGCATATGAAAATTTGAATATCTGAACAGAATCTTCTTATGATAAGAAGATGGATGAAAAAATTACATTTTTATGAAAATATTATGAAATCTTATGAAGGCCATTGTCTACCGTACTTTATGCTTTCTCGTAAATTCTTTTCATCTCTATTAATTTTCACTTCCATTTGAAATTCATTGTATTTACTTGCAGGTGTAGTGAGTGGATGACAAGAAGAGAAAAAAACTGATTATTGGTTATTAGTAGTAGTAGTAGTGTGGTGCGCACAACTTATAAGTAGTATATGACGCGAATAAAAATGTAATGTCTGGCAGCAGAAGATGGGGGAAGATCAAGAAAGGAAGAGCGGGAACACAATAGGATTTGTATGAAATGCATGAACACTGAAATCTCAGACAATTGATTTGTGTTTGCAACAGGAACAGTCCAGTTCGATATGATAGATTGATATTTTGAAAATTAACGATTTACGATATGGTTTTTCTATTTTACCAATCAAATCTGTAATTTTAGATAAATTCAATTCTGTGGCCCTCACCTATGTTGTGCTGAGCATCCTGAAGGAGTTTGAGGCCGTGGCGGAACTGGTGGGGGTGAAGGAGACAAAGGCGAAGTTTGTGGTGCTGGGGACGCTACTGAGAGGTAGGGCGAAGGCCGTATACGGCAGCTTGGACGGTACTGGCGGGTAGACGACGTGGGGGACGGTTACAGAGCGGTTGATGACGGAGTTCGACAGCCCAGTGGACAGGCAGGGGGCGCTGCAGAAGTTCCGGTTGGCGAGGTTGTCGGTCGATGGTGACCCACTGGTGCTGGCTGTGGAGCTTACCAGATAGTTGCGCCGTGTGCTACCGACAACCTCACCAACCGGAAATTCTGCAGCGCTCCCTCCCTGTGCACTGGGCTGTCGAACTCCGTCATCAACAGCTCCGTGACCGTTCCCTCATGTTGTCTTCCCGCCAGTACCGTCCAAGCTGCCGGAACTTTAATACAAAACTTTCAAATGAAAATGAAATCAGAAAATCAACTTATAACCTAACACTTTTAATATCAGTTGCTCAAAGACAATATGTATGATATTATACTTGTTACCAATTAGATTTGTAAACAAGACATGATATCTCAGTTTGTGAGTCAGTAAATTACAAAGTACAACTTCGTACGTAAGTACATCAGTTCAGGCTGCCATACCACATCAGCACAGAGACGCTGCTTTCAGTTCAAATCCAAGAGTGATAGCGACAGTAGAAGTATTAGCAGCAATGGAGAATATTAGGGTTCGAAGATATGATATGATTCGAGAAGTATAATTCAGTAAGATGAATTTAGAAGGAGAAAGGTAGAGATTATGAGGAATACAGAAGCTTAGAATTTCATAGAACACAAAGAGTGGGTGCACCTGGGCCATTGCAAACGATTCTGAGCCATGTCATTCAAGGTCTCTAACCATCGGTGACTATCGTCTCGCGGATCCCAACCAGGTAGTCTGTATCTACCAACATAACTCACTCCACTTGTCAGTGACTTTGTAGTGTGCCGATAACTGCGTGTTCTTAAGCTCGGTTTATAAATCAGAAGATGAACTCGTATTGATGAATACGTTTATTCGAGGCACACCACAAAGCGAAGCGGAGAAGGCTAAGAGCCAACTCTTTCGATTACAATGCGAGCGAATGAGTGAAGCGAATAGGAGAAGGCTGTTGAGCAAACTCTTTGGATTACAATGCGAGCGAATGAACGAAGCGACGTGGAGAAGGCTAGTGAGCCAACTCCAAGAGATAGAACATAACTAAGAATATATAGTCAGATAAGAATAAGACAGACATATGACAAGCGAAATAGGTATGCACACACATGAATAAAAGCGACGAATGATTGACAAGGTCAAAAGCAAGCGATATAAATCATGTGAGTTCATGAGGATATTAAGAGATTAACATTAAAGCGAAAAGTATGAATATGCGCGCAAGTGTAAACAATGTTCAATCATACCAGCGCATACAAACCACACAATAATAAAAGCCAATGGTACATATAAGTTAGTGTTTTACCAATGGCTTGGTTAAATAAATTAATCGAAAGGGCTTAACCAAGTTAGATGTGAGAGAACTGAAATATATGTGGAGGCACTACAACTTCATGGATCACTGCCATATTTTGGTTTGGCCGCCCCTAGTTTTCTTCCAACTTACTCCTACACCAGATAATATCTAACTGGAAATGTTAATGGTCTTGTGAATGTTGTCGTATAAGTTAACAGAAAGTATGCACTTATACTAAATAAAAAAAGCCGAGAATCCATTAAAACTACTTTCATTACAATTGTTTACGATGCAAAAAAGAAATTAAACAATACTTACTTTCCTTTTAGCATATTCTTTCTTCGAATTCATTTCTATTTGAGCTTTCAATTTGCTAATATTCTCATTTAAATCACAGATAATCTGTTCTTTTCGTGCTATTGTACCTTCATGATTAAGTGCAAGATCTCTTAAACTAATGACTTGTTCATTCAATTTTATCATATCAGTTTTTATACTAAAAAGGTAACAAGTAACAAGTTTTAATTAATGAAGTAATTGTTTTAAGGTTGCTACGATATTAAACTAATCTGGAAATCAATCTACACTAGGTCGTTTACTGTTCTCACAATCTGAGACTATAAACAATAGTGTGTATGAACTAGTTCACATTTATGTACGATAGAAGTTGTATCGGATAGATAAAATCGAATTGAAAGTTAAAATAGACAACTATGCATGAAACTAAGAGACCACAATCTATCGGTAATTGTGATTATAGTTTGAAAATAAGGATCACTGATATCTAAATCTATATGAGTGTAATCCAATTGTAATGAACGAAGGTTTCAATAGTAAATGGAACAGTAGTATATGAAAAGGAAACACAGTTTACTAACAAAGTATATACAAGTAATCTTCAGAATTCCAGCTACAAAACAATAAGATTATTTGCATTACGGGGTGGTGAAGATTGTTAAGTTACACGTTTTTGAAACCATGAATCGATCAATGTTTGGCCTCCATTAGAAACCTGCAAGCACTGGACGGCCTTTTCGTCCTGGTATGAGACTCCTCAACAGTGCACATCCACGACTCCTGCACCCAGCAGGATTAGAAACCAGGACCTTCGATATTGTGCGCCAAGACCTAAATGTGTAACTTAACAATCTTCACAACCTCGTAATGCAAATCACCTATGCTCACTAGTGACTAGCTTCGTGAGGAGTATTCTCCGAGTTCTTGTGGGAAGTCGTGACCAGTGAAGTTCAACCTGTTCGGGTGTAGACAGTAACTACTGAAGACTGTGCATGAGGTTGCGCAACTCCGTGAATTGGTCAAGTTAGATATTAACACCGTTAGAATGCGGCTCAATGGTCCGATGGTTAGGAATTCGCTCACAATATCGAAGGTCCTGGATTCGAGTCTTGCAAGGTGCAGGAGTCGTGGATGAGCACTGTTGAGGAGTCCCATACCGGGCCGTCCAGTGCTTGCAGGTTTTTAATGGTGGTCTAACATTGATCGATTAATGGTTTCAAAAATGAACAAGATTATTGACTGCCTCCTTCTACACGTTTTCTGGTCTTCAAAACACTTTCACTGTCCCATTTATTCCGGTTCGAAACTCTTTCCTCCGGTAGTAACTTCTGAATGACAATCCACTGCCTACTACTTAGAAGTCACATCAAGAGTAGTATCAGCCACATTATACACAGTTGGAAATGTGGACAAAAGGTATGAACATTTCAACCTAAAGAGTTGTCCACCACAAAATGAACTTGAAATGATTTCCTAACAGTTGTAAATTCATAACGAAAATCATCTTTTCGAAATAAAACTAAAAGAAACGTAGCGTAAGTAAAAATTCCCTCTGTAATTACATTGCATAAATTTCACTATCAGTTGATTGAAATAAATTCTAATTATTGACAAGAGTTTAGTTCATTTAAATGTATTGGGCTAAACATCTGAATAGATAGACAACAAGTTATTTGCTATAAGTCCATAAATTATCTTTCTCGATGTTCTATACACTAACTGTTCAAAGTCATTTTGTTTTTGAAAATAAGATTTTACCTTGAAATCATGGAGAGTTTAAAACATTATGGATTGGAATTGTCAGGTATGATAAGAGTCTATAAATCGAGTTATTCTAAAAGTTTATGAAAAAATTTCATTCACAAAATTTATCAATGAATCCATAAGAAGCAATACAATGGCTGGCAAGTGACTAAAACAAGCCCATCAGTTAAAATGTATGTATATGTATATCTGCAATATTTTGTATTCAAAATTTTCTTTATTCTTGTTCGGTACATCATTTTTAAGTTAACGCATAATGTAGTTGGTAGATTTGAACTAAGATATTATTCTACACAGAAATGAAGTTATCTCACAGCTAACACTGTGGTGTGTGCTACTTATACGAACGATATAAGTAGTATAAGAATGGACGTGAAAGAAGAAGTCTTACGGTCAGAAGAGGAAAACGGAAAGCAAATAGAGCAAAAGCAAGAAAGAAACAGAGCACCGACAGGAAGTAAAGGAAGCAACAGCAGGAATGGAAGAAGGCTGGAGCGTTGGAAGTCAGGACTCAAAGATGGTGTGCAAATGGAGTGTTCAATGTAATGTTATCGTTTTTAATTGACCAAGAGTGTAAATTAGCCTAATACAATCTATTGAGCCTGCCTCAGTCTTCTCAACACCACATTAGTATCGTTAATCATTCAAGTAGATTGTGATTAAATGTTTGCGTAAACTAGGATAGTGTTAGGTATGTCACCAGGTATGCTTGAAACTATTACAGGTTCACCTTAGTCGATAAACTAGAACTAGACAATGAACCAGCGTCCAGGGAGGTTATCTTGATCCGTTGACTCGAAATGGCTAAAGAGTAGTCTTGATATAGCGTAGAAAGTATATTCTACAAACACCCAGCAAGCACAATGCAATCAAGCACACAAATCGCGTTTATTTCTACATCATATAAACGTCATTGGGACAGTCACAAAAATACCACACTAAAATAACACAGCAGCCAATCACAACCAAGGCTTTTCCTGGTGGGAAATGCGATCTCAAGGTCAACCGATCAGCCCGTGCTCGAAAACATAAAATCCAAAATTAAAGCATTTATCAAGCGAGATCTGGGGATCTAACGTCCCCAACAAATAGGTTGCTTTCTTAATACAAAAAAAAATTGAGTTCAGTAATCAATCACATTTAACCGAATTTTTATAAATGATTTCATCGATATAGAGAGATACTCTAAGTAAACTATGGAACTTAATATATTTCCATGCAATTAAAAGTTTCAATAAGTTCTTCGCATTCAGTTGGGCTAAACAGTGACGCAATACTGCTTCTGAACTTTAGGTTAACTACACCATACTGATCTATCCAATGAGTTGAGTAATAATGACTGTGTCTGAGTTAATTACTTTCTTTTACTTCTGAGATATCAGTTTACTAAATGTCAGTGAAGTCACTAACCCAACAGTTGGGAGAAGAATACTTGTATCAATGCGTTACAGCTTCATAAACACAATACATCGTGTTGTAATAAAAGTGAGCAATAAGCTACTAGTTTAAGCCAACTAAATAAGCTGATGTTTTTTTATCAAAATCTGAGATATTCAATCAGTCGGTAATCATATTCAACGGTGGAAAATAATAATTCGTAATTTTTAAATATCAAAAGCTTCGCTTAGTAAGGATTTTACCTAATATGCTTAACTGTTCCCCTCATCTGTTGGTTTTTCCATTCTCATGCATAAATTTAATGATTTTCATCTGGTAATTTATTGATTTTTGTCACTTTTCTAATGACTTCTTAAACTATTCTGAAATTTTCTAAGGCAGAATTTTTTAAATGCATAATTTGATCTATTTCTCAGCCCCATCTTTGTCTTTAAAGCAGTAAATTTAAACAACAATTATAAGTGAATAAGATTGTTTCTAGTAAGAGTTTTTACTCCAAGTTTCGGTCTACTTCCCGATGTTGAAAACTTTATCTAAGCTGTTGTTATCCTCATACCATTACCAATACAGTTGTTGTCCAACAAACGATTTGTAACTTTCACTCATTACATACAGTTATGTGATCTACTTCATTGTTATCACTGATTAATAAGGCTGTTTTAATTGGGCCAGTGATTACCATATACAAGTATAAATATTTATATTCATTATAATTAAACTTAATGAAGACCTAACTGAAAACCATATTGTCAGCTTAGATTTCTTTGCTCTGATTGACCTTCGTCTGGTATAATTATGTAAAAATAAAAAAGGAAGCGTATTAATCAAATGGTTATTTACGACCACAACAAAAACATGGAAAAACCACTTGGTGAAATTACCGTTGCAGTTCGACTGAAAAAAGATTCTTTAAAGATGACATAATTTCCTCTTGCACTGATTGATAATGAACCTGAAAACATTTGAAAAAGTGTTCTGTGTAAATTCATCTAGCCATTAGTATTTGATTTTATTATTATGCATTTATGTATATCTACCACGTGGTAATAACCTTAAGATTATAAATATCACTTCAATGTAAAGTAAAAGATAACTCAAAAGATGCCAGTAGAATTTACTCAACATATTCTCTACAGAAATGAATTTTTTCTAGGATACAGATAATTCACATCTTATTTGAAATTAACCTAACTAATCATAAAACCTCAGCTGAATTAAAGATTACATATGATTGATCATTGCAAAGAAGAATACTTCAACGGAAGTAAGGCAGTCAGTCAGCTACAACGTAGAACTTCGCACTTACTTACACCATATTAGCATAGAGAGATGCGATGGTCAGTTCGAATCTCATAGAAACGGAGGTAGTAGAAATATGAGCAGTAATCGGAAAGATCACTGTCAGACGATATTATTCAAGAAGGATTATTCAGTGAAATCAATTCATAAAGAGAAAGACAGAGGTCGTGGGGTATTCAGAAGATTATAATTTCAGAGAAAACAAACAGTGGATGCACCTGCGCCATTGAAAATGATTGTGAGCCATGTCGTTCAAGGTCTCTAACCATTGGTTAGTATCGTCTCACACCTACCAACATGGCTCAGTCGACTAGTCAGTGACTTCACGGATTGGATGTTTTGGTCTGGCCGCTCCTAGCTTTCTTCCAATCTACTCGGGAAAAAAGCCATATCCACAAAACATAAAAGTGGCGACGGGGCTTACAATTCACAATGTCAGTTACCCTTGAACAGTTAGAATCTTTACTGGAACGTCAAGGTAAACGATATGAACAGTTCCAGGAACGTATGTTGGAGCTGTTAATGAAACAAATGAATTTGAATCACAGAGGTTTTGCCGATGATTCATATAATCCGCATACAGACTCGATAGTTAATTCCATTCATGAATTTCATTTTGATGGCCTTGCTGGTGTGACTTTCGAGTCTTGGTTTAAGAAGTATGAGGATTTGTTCAAGGTCGACCTCAACAATCTTGATGACGCCACCAAAGTCAGAATCCTTTTGAGAAAGCTCGGCACAATCGAACACGAACGTTATAGTAATTTCATCCTCCCAAAGAACCCACGAGATTTCTCTTTTGATGCTACAATTGATACGCTGTCGTAAATCTTCTCTGAACAGTCATCTCTCTTTAATATTCGTTATCAATGCCTCAAAATAATCAAGTCAAATGAAGATGACTGGGTAAAGCATGCTGGCTTAGTAAATCGTGAATGTGAACGATTTAAATTATCATCAATGACGGAAGATCAGTTTAAGTGCCTTGTGTTTGTGTGCAGCTTACAATCTCCCGACGATGCTGATATAAGAACCAGAATCCTAAGTAAAATTGAGCAGTGCCCAAACATCTCGCTTCAAGAAATAACTGCAGAGTGCCAGAGATTAGTAAACTTGAAGCATGATACCTCCATGGTCGAAAACAATGGCCTCTCATCATACGTGCATTCCATTAGTGAAAAGAAAAATTCCGTCTCACAAAAGCATCACAAGAGCACAGACAACCAGCCCTCATCTCCATGCTGGTCATGTGGAGGTTGGCACTACAAGAAGTTTTGCCCATACAAAGATTATGTTTGCTCTAAATGTCACAAAAAGGGTCACAAAGAAACCCGATGTTGGACAAAAACTCGCAGACATTACTCCGCGAAAGTCGATTCCAAGAAATACAGTTCTGGTAAGTCAATAAACAAAGTATTGGTGTCTCATAATCAGACAAGAATTCACCAAAGAAGAAAGTATGTGACTTTGGATATGAATTCACACCGTATCCGTCTTCAACTGGACACAGCATCTGACATCACCCTCATCAGTCCAAAAACTTGGGAGAAAATTGGAAGACCTACAGTTCACCCTACGAAGCAACTAGCACACAGCGCATCTGGTGGCAAGTTAAATATTGTTGGAGAAATACTGTGCACTGTTTCAAAATATGGGACAACAACAAGTGCAACTGTATACTTAACTAAGAACCCAGACCTTGAATTATTGGGGTTGGATCTCATAGATGCATTAAAACTAACAGACCATTCTATCAACAACATCTGCAGCCGAGTAAGAATCAATAACCCTTTAGAGTCAAGTTTGAGAAATGCCATTATAAAAAGGCATCATGAAGTATTTTCGGAAGCGTTGGGCGAATGTACCAAAACCAAAGCGCTACTGACTCTCAAGTCAACAGCTATTCCTGTTTTTCGACCAAAAAGACCTGTACCTTACGCTTCTCTCCCGGTAGTTGAACAGGAACTGGAACGACTTCAAAAAGTGGGTGTTACTGAACCTGTAAGTTTCTCCAAATGGGCTGCACCGATTTTGGTGGTCAAGAAGTCAAACGGCATATTCTCGTCGAGGTAGTTGGTGTTTGGGCATGCGTACAGCAATCCGAACATGCTTGCATTGCTGCTTAAGGTGGTAAACAAGAGTGGAGAGAGTGGACATCCCGAACGGATACCTGTTACGAATGCACGTAAACACATCGTTTGATATGCTTGAACTATTACGAGTTTACCTTAGTCGGAAAACGAGAGCGAGGATCGAGGATCCGGCGACACGGTATGCTACTCTAATCCAATAGCCGTTAGACGTCGGAGTATTATTGAATCCAGTATATCAGACACTATATTAATAAAACTGATTCCTCTGTGATTTTCACAAGAAGACCTTTCTTACAGACTGGGATAATCAGTGATTGAGACCAGTCAGATAGGATTATGACCGGTTCCCAATTTCTTTCTAAGATCTCAGTCAATCTAACTGCTAAAACTGGACCATAATCCTTAAGAATCTCTGGGTTAGGCTGCCAGGCCCTGCTGCTCTCCCTCGCTTCAGATTTCTCATAGCGTTTTCAACTTCGTTAAGAGTTGGTGGATTTACATCGATTTCTCATTCAGATTTACTGAAGATTGTAGGTAACTGAAGTGTGGCTGAAGGCCAGTTGAGTCAATCTCTGATGTCCTGGACTATTTGTAAGCTAACTCCTGACTTTCCTATCTGATAATTGACGAATGGAACTCGTTAGCCCGACGAGTGATTGAAGCCCCATTCAAGAGGAAGCTAGGTCAACTGAGAAGTTAACATTGCTAGAACTAATACAGGACTCTCACCCTCCTATCTTTCTTAAACTGAAATTGAAGTAAATATGAAATGCTTCCCAACATTAATCGAATTAAATTCACTTATAAAATTAAAATAACCCTTGATTATGATTATCGAAATCTTATAAGATACACAGTATGCTCATATGTCACAACTGATTGTTTGAAGTGAAAAATATGAAAGGGTTATAGCATATATAGTATAAAAAACCAATTACGCCTTAATCGGAGATTACAAGCAGCTGAATGGAAATAGGTTACGTCAAATTTAACAAATGATAAAAGTCACAGCATAAAATTGAATTATTTGGTACAGGAAATTCAGATTTGCGTACGAAATTCTAACCGTTCAAACCATAGAATAGCTTTACAACGATATAATAAGATCTAAATGTAAAGCCACCGAACAAATGGCTTTTTCAGTTTATATTAGTTTAGTGTTGATACAAAATTCGTCAAACCAAATTAGCATGATTACTCCCATTGGCAATTAGTGAACTGAAGTTAACTGATACTGTGCGTAGAGGTTTTTTCATATTTTACGAAGTTGACGGAATATGCAGTGTGTTTTTTAAAATATTTTACACCGGAAACCTATATTAGACATTCAAGACTGAATGCCTACCGCATCTTAAATATTTGTTTAGAACCAATCCAAGTGGTAGTTTGCTTATCACAATCTGTGTTACCACGGAATAAAACGTAGTAGTGAAATGGATTAGGACCTATTAACAAAATAAAACATAAAATCGCCAAAACACTTAGAATAAATAAAAAACTTCGAAAAATAACCAGGTCTCGAACAAATCCTACTTGATATTTAATACAAAATAATTAATGAATTTAACTGCCCGATTTAGTTGAGTTCAGATTGAATCACCAGAATATTGAACCTCAATAAAAACTCGCATCTGCTATTTTTTGCCCTGGTTTTCTTGAAAGACAGTTAAATAGTCACTCTGAGAACCATCGTAGATTTAAATAATGGGATGACTTGATATAGAATGTTTCATTCATTAAGACCTGTGTCGATTTTGAACATTTGCAGCTGGGCATAATTTCTGCTCGAAAATATACTCCCAGACTCTATCATATGTATTCAACAGCAATTCTAAATTTAAATAGTACTCTGAACACACTTATGGTCAAACATTTATCATTACATCTATATAAAGTAGCGTCACTTTACGGAATAAAGTAAATATTTCATTACTTAATTATAAACATCAAAGCAAAACGAACAATTATTGATAATAACACCAATATTCTTCATTTGCATCTTTTTGTATAATTATCCAAAATGATGCTAGTCCGTATTATGTCAAAAATCTTATCGTTTTCAAAACTGTAAACTAACAATCATCAATGAAGTTCTACGGGTATATTAAAGTGGCTACTCAAAGAACTAAAGTAATATTAAGTTTCATGAAAGCATCGCCTATGACGAGCTGAATCACAAAGTTTAGTTAACTTGATACATAAAGTTATAGTTAAAATGCTGTTCCATTTTTCATCCAGGATTACTTTATCAGTCAATTCTTAAAATGAAAATCCTTATCAACTCTCAAAGCTGATGGAAATCAGTATCGCACACCTTTTCAACAACCTCGTGTATACTCTGATATTAGTGGATATCTTCATAATCTACTGATTAGATGATTTATTATTCCTTAAATATGACTAAAAAAACTGTTTTTAACAGTGCATATCAGTCTGCATTAAGTAGTTGAAAAAAATTACTCACCGTTAAATTTTCTTTTAGTTTTGATGCAGCTTGATCATAAATTGTATTTATATCACTTAGTTTGCTGTCAGAAAAGAGATTTGCATGCTTAATCTTTTCAAGATCAATCAGATCGTTGGAATAATCACACATCCCTGTTGTACACTGCTTGGAGTATGGAAACATTGAATCTAATCGTTCATTATATTCACAGTTATTCGGCCTTTCATCATTCTGAAAGTTCTTATCTCTGGTACTGCTGCTACTGCCAACGTCTACAAAATATGAAGGACATTTTAATGGAAATAATCAATATATTTAGACACGATAAAGTGCCAATAAATAAATTAATTCTATTTGTTTTAGAGAGTATATGACTTGGACAAGAATATCACTTTTTCAAACACAACACTACATCTGTTTTCCATGAAGTTCTGTGTTATCTTAAAACACATTTTTAGGTCATTTTTATTTCACCAAATTTACTACAAGACGCGTACAGCTATTATGTATATATTATGTGGACCGTAATAACTGCAACCGGTCAACGTTCATAACCAAATGATGATTTACATTTTGCAGATAAGTCTGCCATTGAGTTTGTTTGTGAAGACCTGCTACCACTAACTTTACAGTTTAATCTGTCTCGCATAACGAAAACTTTACAAATATGTTAGGAAAGACGAGAAAAATGGTTATCAAAATATATTTATCTTTCATGTTTCCTGTGGTTTGAAGACCATAAAACGTAAGTGTTTTTTAAAACTTCAAGTTCCGAGCAGTAGCTAGTTTCAAAAAACGAAAATCGATAATTCTCCAATAACTGTTCCTTGAATTGTTTGTTGCTATGGTCTTGAAAACCTAAGCTACTTTAGTAAATGGTAGACACTATTTTCAGCATCCTTTTGTAGACAAAACATTTTTTCCACTCTCAGGAGTTACGGCGAGACTGTTATTCAGGGACAAACCAGGCGGGTTTAAGGATTTTGATTTGGAGCTCAGTAATGTATTTGGATGAACAGGGTTTACACAATAAAAATGATATTAGGTAGTGATAAAAACCATAACTCTAGCTTTTAAATCTTAGTGCCTATCCTAATTTTTCGCAGTAATTTATAAACAGTTTTGAACTTTAATAAGTAGGCAAATTTTATTAAGGTTACTTTTTATATTGCTGACTGGCGGTCTATAAGTTATGATCTCAAGTTCGTTTTTCACAAACAATCCACCGGTTGTGTATATAGGCAGTTGATAACATATTATCAGAGTAAAACCTTTGGAGCCCTAGTACTTCATTGATAACTTCTATCGCGTAAAAACGTAAGTAATATAACTTAGGCTTCATCAGAACCTACGATTTTTAAATAGCTAGAACAAACATCAGCAGAATTTTGCTATGATTCATCAACACTATGCCTCTCAAGGTAATCCTTTAAAAATGTCGCATCAAAAAGCAAACACTAAGGTTCGTGCACACGTTTTCCCATCAAGAGTCACTGCAATTTGGAACGCTCTCCTAACCGAAGTGACCACAGCGCCCTCAGTGGACAGCTTTAAAAATTGACTTGATAAACACGTACTCACATACGGATTATAATCTCTCTCATATCAGCTATGCCTGATGCATGTAATAAGACTTGCTAGTTGTTGCTGTTGCCATTTTCTCAGATCACTAACTTAATTTATCTCTCCTATTATCTACGTTTCCTTCCCCTAACATACACTTTGGTTCTCTTGCAAAACCCTCACTACCAATTAGTTAACTTATCTCTCTACTTACTAACGTAGTTCGAAAATCTTATTCTTATTATCATCAGAGTTTTCTCCTTGTTATTCTCCACATTGCAACTGACTGATCTCCGGCTAAGTAGTGTGACAGCTTCTGATATCCATAAGTTCTAATGCCCTAAAAAAACGTACTCATTCAAATCACTGGACATACAAACTCACAAAAACTGACAGCCGACTAGAATTAGTGAGGTTGAGCAGCTTGACTACTATCCATTGGAAACTATCAAATACTTGAAACCGTACCGAAAGAGCAATAACAGAGCGTAAGGAAACTAATTACTTTATACTAGCCCGTGAAAAAGATATTGGGTATGCTAGCTTTTTGCTAACTTGGTACCGATCTAGGTTTGCTCTTAACGTTTTATAAACTATCATTCTTATTGAAAAGTATGTGTAAAACCGTTCTGTAGTATACCTTACAGATTTCATATCAGTTTCCGTGCCATTGACAGCATAGCTTAAACATTTATGGATTACAAATGTTTCTAAAGGTCTAAATTACATAGATATATACAAGGAACATTAGTTTTCCAAAAGAAAGCTAATAGATAAATGGAAGTCAAATATGCCCAACTCAAAACATATGTGATTTGCTTTGAAAGTTACGAAGCATTAAAATTTGTAAACAATTTTCAATATCATTAAGCTTGTGAGATATGTTTACTGAATTAACAGATTTTATTAAATTTTAGCACAAGATGACATTGATTTTTTACTTTTTTAGAGTAGTTTTTGTATTAGATAAAGAGCAGCAGCCAAAAACCTACCTGAAGGATATTCGCATGTGTTCGATGAGTTATTTGAGTATACGAATGTATCATGTGTATCAAAACTGTGACCTTCTAATAACATTGGAAAATTCAAAAGTGCAGTAGCTTGTGTTTACATAACGACAAACTTCAATATCCAATAACTTTTTTCACGGGCTAGTATAAAGTAATTAGTTTCCTTACGCTCTGTTATTGCTCTTTCGGTACGGTTTCAAGTATTTGATAGTTTCCAATGGATAGTAGTCAAGCTGCTCAACCTCACTAATTCTAGTCGGCTGTCAGTTTTTGTGAGTTTGTATGTCCAGTGATTTGAATGAGTACGTTTTTTTTAGGGCATTAGAACTTATGGATATCAGAAGCTGTCACACTACTTAGCCGGAGATCAGTCAGTTGCAATGTGGAGAATAACAAGGAGAAAACCCTGATGATAATAAGAATAAGACTTCCGAACTAAGAAAATTAATAAGTTATTTAATTGTCGAAAAATAGCTGCAACCGTATTGAAAAGACAAGAATGAAGTTGGCTTATACAGGCTAATGAAAAAGTTTTTGGATATTGGATTTTGTAGTGACGTTTTGGTGAGTTGACAGAAGTGTAAGCTAATATGTGGAAACATAGATCATAAACGATATTGACTTAATTTGTGATCTGAGGAAATGACGAAAATCACAACAAGAACGTTCGGAGACGTACGTCAGGCATAGCTAGTCCAAGAGTAAGGTGATAATCCCTACGTTAGTAGGATATTTCAGCTATGGTTTAGGCCATTATCAAATCACCTCTGACCCACCCGTGTCTCAGGTGGAATAATTACAGGTTTCAACAGAACAAAAACCAAGAATGTAAAAAATGGTTTGATGTCCTACATGCAGTAATCTTAGTACTCCCTGGGAACCACATACGTATTCCAGAGCGCGTCGTTCCAGCTTGCTTTCCAAACAACAACGTAGTCTCGTTGTGCCTATTACCGAACAGAACATTTTTGTGGCTGTAGTGGTATTGTTGTTCTCTTGTGTGTTCAGGAGATTGACGGAGAACAGCTTTCCTCCTATGTCAGTGGCTCTACGTCGGTTGACGCTGATGTTTTATTAACTCTTGTGCTTATCAACTGTATCATACTCAGATTCGTGATGAAGAATTTTCTAGTAGCCTTCTTATGAGGTTTCGGGGGAGCGCTGAACTGTATTTTGACGTCGTAGAAGGTATGTACTAGATGGAGTGAAAGAATACATCAATTTACTGCGGTCGATATTAAACACGATTCAGTGAAGGTTTTTCGTTTGTAACCCTGTTTGTGTAGCAGTTAAAATCTACACCCGTTGTACCCGATGAAAAATTAGAAAATTTTTATTGAATTCATAATTTCTTGCAACCATTTAGTCGTCTATCACCTAAATGCGAGTTTCGAGTAACACGAATAAAAGCGCATCAGTCCGTTGTAATAAGTTTGCAGCATAAATGAAAGTTACCTACTGTTTAAGGAAGCATGTTTCGGAAATGTAAGCTTTTAGGTGGTATATGGCCTTTCGGATTTATGTTGATAAGAGCGAAACCAGACATGAAAATTCAAAATTGGAAGCAGTTTAACAGTCCAAATTAACGGTTCAGTGTAAGCAGAGTTTGCTATTCATCATTCAGCGAGGGCATAAGCTACAATTTATCAAAGAAATAATTGTGACATGCAATGATTCTGGCCCTTGGGTGAAGCAATAAACACTCGTCAGAAGGTCAGAGTATCCATTCGAATCTGTCAACGGACCTATCAAGTCGATATGATCGTGGTTGAGGCACCCATCAGGAGTGGGGTTCGTACTTGTTATGCATAGTTAACCTAATTGTCTCAACGTCGCTGTCCACAACAGACAGACGAATTCATTCTGCTACCTGCTTGATAGTTACGCGGACACCAGGATGATAAGTGTTGTTCAACGTACTTAAGTCATTGTGTCAATGATGTTAAGGAACGATTGAGTAAACTGACACTTACCTGTTTCCATTGTTGATTCGCAATTTCCGTTTTATCGATGGTGACTCGTACTGAAGGTCGCCATTTCCATCTGAACGAGGTTAAGAGGGATAAGTTTTTAAAAATTGTTCAAGGAACAAAGCGTCCTAACTGTATTGTTTGCCGTAGAAATATGTTTCATATCTGAAGCAAACTGAGAGATGTAGCCCAGTTTTCTGGACTCTTAACGAAATCACTTATTTAGAGAAGGACCAAGAGAAAACTTTTTGGGTATAAGGTGAGAGAAGAGTGAATTTCCGGCATTCCCTGTAGTGTTGAAAGTATCTTAAAGTTCAGTAAACCAACAGAATTTCAGACTGAAAATGCTACACCGCAAAAAATTATCTCGATGACGTCTCGACAGGTTTCCAAAAATTACATACTCGTTTTTTGAAGCTCCTCCGATTGACGAACCAGATTCACTTACTATGATACCAACTGATTTTTCGCTGTCGATGTGTGGGAAAAATTTCACTTAACTATATGGTTTTTTAATGTGGAGAACGCTTTTTTCGAAGTATCATTTAAGATAATAGTTTCCACATTTCCGCAATGTTGACCAGTTAATAGTCACATGAAAAAAGGGGAATCGGGTTTGAAAAGACAGAAAGATCGCTCCCCTTTATTTTTATAGGGTGTAACCCCTGAATAACTACAGGAGTGGATAGGATACACATTCAGGAAAGCACCAAACTGCGCCACAAGACAAGCTTTACGTAGAATCCCCAAGTATATTTTTGAGGAAATGTGAAGACTATGTGTTCAGTCATGACAGAGCATAACCTTCAACTACAGACTGAATCGCCACTAACTGGAAATTCAGTTTGTTTGGGTCGACCAGTATTTCGTTTTGTAGTAAGTCTGTACTAATGATTGGCTTTGAAACGTCTGCCACGATGAAAACCGAATGAGAGGGTTTGCGTTAACCTCTGTTGTGGCAAAATTACCATTAGCCTTAAATAGAGATCTGCTCTCCTTTTGCCTCAGGAAGATTGAAAGGTAAATAGTTTGTATGATCCTTCCCGTCCGCTGCAAAGATGATTACCTTTGTATTAGTGTTAAGAACATAACGAGCCATACTCTAGTGGATAAAACAGGCCAATTGCTCTATTTCAACTTTAACTGTTTTCTGAAAAACTGAATGCGGACTATTTAGTTCCACAAGGTCGTGTTGTAGGTGTTGAAATATAAATTCGTAAGTATTGGGGTATATTTTAGGGTTATTCGGTGGTTAGATTTGTCCTCTTTAATCAGCCATTAACTTAGGCTGTATTTTTACAGTCTCAAGTAGTACATGACTTACGAACTAGTCTAGTTTAACATGGTAGATTTATATAAAATGAGCTGTAGATTTAAAACCATACAACAGTTTTGAAGGCTTCGAAATTTGGTTGATAGAATCATTTTAATTTTTTAGGCAGAATTCTAAACATTCCGATTATTTTCGATGATGACTCAGTAGTCACTTTTAAAATAGTCTGTGTCTTTGTGGCCTCCTCCGTGCATATCTTTGCGTGTTTGACTGCCTGTAGGGTAAAACAGAGCATATCACATTTAAAATTAATACGAAATTGTGTGCAAGCAAGACTAATGTTCACCAACTATTTCGTGTATTTTAACAATCTTAGCACTGCACGATTACTTGTAAATTGATTTAGTAAAATTTTCAAAAACACACATCTCTCGTTGGAAAGATCGTAGTTGCTAGCACTAAGCAATATTGTTTTCAGAAATAAGGTGCAGTTTGTAGTATCATTAACGCTTGGGCACCTAATTAACTGAATGCCACGTTTCTCAGTGTCCCTTAACACTTTACACTCTATGTCAGATATTTTGTTACGTGTCACTGAATTTAAACACTGGGTAATTTTATGTATTGAGATATATTTCATTCTGTGATAGCCAGATTCCAAAACTATGTGCTCTGTGGCACTTTCACATTGAATAAGCGTTGGACAATCCAGTTAATCGAATGGGTTCATCTGCTTCCACTTATTACATCTTAGTAATTTTGTATTAATCTCCATAGCTTGGTATCATCTGTATGTACAAAAACTTGTGATATCGTAAAACCAAGGAGGTCATTTATGTTTAACAAAGGTGTTGATCCATAATCTTATTGGAGACTCCATTTGGCAACCTGAACTGATGTATGTACGTTCGTAGTTCTACGTTGTAACTGACTGACTGACTCCATTTGGCACCAGGTTCTACTTCTATAGCTTGTAGCTTACCAATGATATTCTATTGTTGTCCAACTAGTGCTTTGCCGATCCATAGTAGATTAGTCTGTTGCTGAGCTTCCTTAGTACCCTGCTTTAGAAAACTTGTTTGGAGACCTTGAAGCCAATAAAGGTCACATCAATTTATAACATACCCTTTGTGAGCATACTTCCCATGCTATTAACAAGTTTCAAAGACTGTAGTTTGTTTTGGAACTGCATAACATCTTTCAAAAAGCACGAGAGCGTTTTTCCGAATACTCCTAACTCCTTGTAAATAATTTCAAGAATATTAACTAGTACTCGATCTAAACGTGCAAAATCATCATATCCGGTAAAATATTGAGTTAAACTAAACACCAGCGTTTTTGGGCTGGGTGGTTGAGCTATACGGGTTGTATATACCAGCGGATAGCCATATAGTCATTCATATGCGTTCCCTTAATGTTAGTTCATTGGAGAAAATAGTAACCAACTTTAGTTTCAATGATCTTAGTAGTCAAGCATACACAACCAAAATCTAGCACTCAATGACATTTTATGCGCATTTAGAAGATTTAGCGCATAATAAATGTAAACAAACGTCTTGACTCTTCGGCTTAGTCCTTTCGTTTCTGAGTAACCGTAGTGATCAAAAGTTAATCTGAGGTAACATTAATCCTATTTCTTGTGCTTTTTTATATTCAGAAGTTACTTTCGAGGGCTGTTCTGGTCATTTTCCAACCTTTATCAATCTTGGTTTCTAATCAATTAGCATACTTTAAGATTATTTTGACTTTTGACCGCCCATATAAATTTTAATGTCGGACAAAGTTACAGAAGACGAACAATTGATTTCCGAGGCAGCTTCCTGCTACAGACGTAAAGATTTCGAGCAGTGCCTTTCTATTATGGAAAAACTAAAAGACGGAAAACTGAATGACACAAAGGTAAGTCCAAAACCTCAGTATATAATAATGAGAAAGTTGAAACTCGCACACAGTGTTATTCCCCCATAAAGGCACCACAGCGTACTAAAATAGAACAGTGCTTATAATCATAGTACAAAGAAGTAACTAAAATCAGAATGAATTTCAATGGAAAGTGAAAATTGTTATGACATTCACATCTTCAAGCAAAATAATCAGCGAAAATATCTCAGTATATGTAGAAAGTACTATATGTAGTTTCTGTGGAAAATACTGTCATATGACCTTACAATCACCATGCTAAGATGTCTTATATCATATAATGTTTCTCGATTGCATAACCAATGTTAGATAATCCTGGGCACATTCGTCTTGCGTAGAGATGATTCACTGTTAGATAAAGTGTGATTTCACATTGATTGAATGTTTCATTAACAAACAGATCTAAAGACGTGACTATAAACATCTTCTGATTGTTAGAGAAAATAATATGTTCAGTAGTGATAATCAAATAAGTAGAAAGGGTCGTGAGTAATGAGATAAGCTGAATAAAATTAAAGTGAAGATGTCTTTAGTTGTATTCCAAATCTTTTCGATATATTGGTTAGGATGAAAATTTCGATTCTACTACTAGTTGAAGGAGAATTTTGGGATACTAGTCAGTTTGACCAACAGAATAAGGTCGTTTCCTAGTGGCTCCTTGTAAAGCAGTAAAGAAACGTTGAATTCTGTTCAAATCTTTAGTTCTTCATTTGAATTTATCCTAACTTAACCAAAAGTTATTTTTGTCAAACAGTTTATGCTATCAAACCTTTAGGGACTAATAAGACCTCTTCAGTAAATTGTGTGTATTTTAATAGTAATTAAAATAACAATATGGGCTACCACATTTAATCACGTCCGAAGTCCAACGTTTTGTCAATAGTTCACTCGAGTTTTGCTTTTTTGTTATGCGATGTACAATCATTCGCTTTATCATTTATTGTCTGGGTTTTAGATTATTAGTTCAGTCATTTAGCAACCATGTTAAACGTTTCCGTATCGTCACAATCATACATCACTGTTTTCTTCGTCACAGGTAAACATCAACAAAGCATTATTATCTTATGTACACAAGTCACGTTATTCGCAAAGTGAACAATATATTTCTGATCTGAAACGAATAGCAGCTTCTGAGGGAATGAATCTTGATGACTGTTTTAATAAAACAGTCTTAAGTAAACATAATTCAGACCGTTCCGATGAAGCTCACATTTCTAAAGATCAGTTGTCGAATACTGCACCTCAATTTGTGTCAAGATCTTCTGTTATGATCAACTTGCTCTACAACTACGCTGTTGTATTGTTTTATCAACATCAGTATGCTCAAGCTGAAAAACTTCTTGCCAACTGTCTTGATATCCCATCAAACTTGGAATCCGGGGATGTTCAAACACAGCATCTAAGAGAGATTCAGTTAAACTTTCAGTCTTCAACATGTATTGATCAATCTCCCTCTACTTTGTTGCAAACAATAGACCTCACACCATCAAACGATACTGATCTATGTCGACGTATAGTGCTTCTTTGGCTAGAAGTTTCCTTAAGATTGTTTCAAACGGAGCGTGTATTTGGACTTTGTGGTACGTGGTCTTACTATTGCGGTACATTCTTATCTATGCCGTTCATATATAAGAATTTCTGTGTAACATGTATGTAATCTGTTAGTATTCTTTCTCACATTATACTCCCATTTTTACTTTTTTTATATAGAGAACTCAAAGACATTAAGCAAAGATTTTGACTCACCAGTTTTCTGAGGGTCCAAACTCTGTTTTGTTGACTTAAATTCGAACAGATATGTTATATAAAGCTATTATGCAGTAACTGAATAGAAGTGAGGTTCTAAAACTTGTAGTTAGTCACCAAGATATATAAATTAATTTTCTGTGTTGTGAGATAGCTTCAGTTAACACCATTGCTAACAAAAGGCGCTGTTTTACGTCTCCACTTTTTCATTAGTTCTCATGTCAGTATTCTACTCTTACATGATTTGAGATGGTTAAGATGTGTAGCACTTATATCTAACCACTCGACACGTGATGATGAAAAAAAGCTAAGGGCAACCAAACTAAAGCATGATATTAGTCCATAAAACCATTGACTTGGTCTGAGTAATGTTGGTAGACAAACACTACCTGATTAAGGTCCTAATATTAATCACACTTAGTAGCTGAAAACTTTGAGTAATATGGCCTGAAACTATTCACAGTGACATCAATTCATGGACTTATTATTCTCCCCTCGATCTGAAAAGCCTTTGTACATCCGTACTTACCTTTCCACTTTGTCTTTTAAACTAACATTCTCAATATTTAGCCTTTATTAACTTCATTGCTACTATGTAATTTCGATTTCTTTACTATTTGTCTGATTATTTCCATTCCATCTTGCTAATCAAGTTTGGCAAATTGGGTCGATTCACATCTGTGCCAGGCTTGGTGTTGGTTGATGATGTCTTATACATCATTTACTAAGTTCTATACTCTATTCGTCTGTTTATATTTGTTGTCAAAACACTAATTTCGGATGTTCTCCTTCGTATTTTGTGATTCTGATTGTTTGGAATGACTGTTTCTATCAGTTCACTTATGTTCACAAGAAAATGTATCATTGAAGCACAGTCCTTATATAACAATTAGCTGATAAGTAGCTTTTGTACAGTAGTACTGTTAAAAATGCCTATATTTATCTCTTATTCGTGATTGAATAACTCTCGGTAAATTACATCATACCACACTAGTCAGCTTTCTGTTTTAACTGGGCTTCGGGCATATAATTTGTTACATTCCACGCTTCAATTCAACATATACACATGCCCTTACCCACTTTTAAAAAATATTTCTTATGTTCTTAATGTTGTGTTAATCTGTCATTTCTCTTACACGTTGTGATATATTCTTATTCAAATTTTGTCTTTATAGACTACTGGATTTTATGTCTTAATACAATGTCAGTAGTGTCAGAAACAACCAGCTTGTCATCAAATTCTCAACCACTTACTTTTCCATCTGAAAATACTAGCTGTCAATCACATAATCTCAGTAGCAATGCTTTATCTGTGTTGATCGGGATTCGAAAACCAATACAACTTTACTATATTCGAGCATGTTTATTAACAGGACGTTTAAATGAAGCAGAGTCTGAATTAAACATATTCATATCAGAAATTGATTCAAAGCCAAATCATAACTCTCTTCAAAAGAATAATGATTTTGAAGAAAATTCCCCCGAATTCAAAATTACGCCTGATGATGAAGGGGATAATTGTTTGGATGCGAAAAAACCAGCTAATTCCACAGATTCAGATTCTGAAAATGGCACTGATCACTGTTCTAATATCATATGGTCTACTGGGAATTCTGTGTATTTTCTTCAAGCTCAACTAGCTTTTCTAAAGGTTTGTTACAATGTGTATATTCGTTTTTCTTCCTTTACTGTTCGAACGTTTATGCTACAACTATATGATTTGTTCGTATCATGTATGTTATTAAACATGATCACAGTGAATGATCCGATTCAAAGAAACTTTCAATCATGCATCTCAACCTACCAATACTGAACCCGTTCAACGTCGTTTTGAACAAGGATATTCACGTTCGGTCCTCATGTTATTGTCAAACCATCAGATAAGCGATATTTCTAAGCTTAATTTGTGGTGTGATCTGTCAACTATGTTTATTGTGAACTGCTATTCGTGCTGTGCTTGTATATATATATATATATATATATATATATATATATATATATATATATATATATATATGCCCGCGTTACAATTGACAATATCAGCTCTAAATACTATTAATCTTTCTTTTTATGAGGAAATTAGTTCACTTAAATTATAAAAATATATTAAATAGTAGTTGATTTCATTATCTTTTCTATAATACACTCGAGTGTATAAATATTATTTATATTAATTGTTGTGAAATAATTTCACTTGTTACAGTTTATTTAATTGCTTGAACTTATTTTGGCTTTATTTTCAAGAAATCAGTATTTGTTACATTGTTTAACAGTTTCTGTTATGATGACTGATAACTATGACAGTTTGTACTATTAACTTTTCAAATCACTTTTCCGTGTATAAATAAGTGCGGTTATCATTATTAATGCTCCCTCCATTGATGATACGTATCATTTTTCACAATATATATGCACGACTGATTTCTTCTTTCAATCCAAAAACAAGATTTATTTTTAACAGTTAACACAGAGAGAAGTGAGTATATGTGCAAATATCTTTTTTTTTTAAAGTTGGCTTCATTGAAATTTATCATTTTTCAAATACAATGACAATCTTGATAATTATATAATTATATATCTCTTTCTCCAAATTTCAACTTATTCGTCGTCGTTTAGCATATTTATCTATGATTTTAAGTTTTGTCAAATGAAAGGAATAATTGTTGTTTTTGCTAATATAGAGTATATTAGTTTTTATTTATATCTGATGTTTAACACTTAAGAAGAATGGAAATTTCCACAAAATGTTACGTAATGGCGATTTTTAAATCCTCTAATTTTTTCGTGATAAAGAGATATCAGTAGTAAGAGGTATATATGCCTCAACTAAAGGATGAATATACTGATTAGCAGTTCGTTCAGTTTTACTTTCTAGCTGTGAAATATGGCGTTTAAGAATAGATGATATTCGTAGGTTACTGGTGTTCTTTCGAAGCATTACTCATCTATGTTGGAACCTCTGAGTGAGTCATGTTGAGGCTAAACGTAGTATAGTAAGTGAAAGGCCAAATCAATTGATGAGACTGTAAATCTTCATCGAACAAGATGGTTAGAATGAATCAATCGTACGTTCGACCATCTCCTACTTCGACGCCCAATGTTAGCTGGTGTAGAGGTGGGTTGCAAGAAAGCTTGGTGTGCCCGAACCGAAATTGGCAAAAGTCTGTGCAATAGTTTATTACTAGTTTAAGTCATGTACATATGTGCAGACTACGCAGTGGAGGCCAGTGCGGTTGTCGTAGTCACTGTTTAGAGATGCCATATGACATTGCTCAAAATCGCTTGCGACGAGATAGATGCATCCATTTTTTGTCTTTCTGTAGATTTTAAGTTTTAAAATTAGCTGGCACTTTTTATCCCACGAATCCATTCCTACTTCTCCAATGAGGTTGTGTATGCCTAATCTGTTCTGTTACCACGAATGATGTTACTACTTCTACTGATCTGGCATCTATCTTGATAACTTGGTCTTGCAATGCTACGTTGTCGCATCTTGAACCGATGCACATATGTTCCTTGCTTATGAGATTGATCAACCAATAGTTTGCAATATATTATAAATCGTGATATCCTTCGTAATGTCACATATGTATAGATAACTATGGATTTATCCTTAGCTCTCACATAAAACTACGGCTCAAGTATACAATCGTATAAACTTCGTGTCAAACATATCGAAAATATGTGTAAACGTATAAAGTAAACTAAGTGTTTCCAATTGAAAATTCTGTAAATTCATTGTAAAAACTCTGACCTTTTAATCATTGAATTAGATTGATTTAGGGGATTCAGCTAATATCGTTAGGCCTCTTATATATATATATATATATATATGGTTAGAAACTAGTGTAGTTTTTACATGGTTATTACGTTACATTTGTAGATAAACTTTAGATGATATGGTTCACAATCGTCCTCAGTGTTAGAATTTCATTTTTCTTTTTAATATTCGTCGAAATCCCAACCTGATTGTCTTCCTGTACTTTTTATTTTGACATATTTGCTTTCCCATAATTAAATCACATCACTGTTGTGATTCATCTTCGATTCCGCTTTGTTAATTTCCCCTGTTAGATTTGCTGTTTTGTGAGTAATCACTTTATTAACTAACACAGCTGTATTATAATGGTTAACAATGTTATATTTTAAATTAATACAGATCTGAAAAATCTACAATCAAGAGTAGGCGTACATATTTACATTTAGATCTTCCCTTCTTTTGTCATTGTTCATGATTAAACTCTTATCGTATGCAAATCTAATCGATAAACTGTTCATCACTTGTAATAATTGTGTTTTTTTTCGCATTACCATTTCTCAGGGTCAGTATAATGATGCTGTCAAATTGCTTACTTCAATGCCATCACCTTCATATAATTCAACTGCTATGCATGATTGGGAATCAATTATTGTAAAGAATAATCTTTCTTTAATTCATCATCGCACTGGTCGATATACTTGTGCTGTAATACAACTTCGTCATGCTTTAAAACAAATTGATAAAACAGTTGAATTGGCTGTACAGTCAGATGACAAAAATGTATCTTATCAACAACTGAATCATCAAAATGATTGCTCTTCGGCTGGGGAATATTCTGAATTATTTAACCAGGTAAGAAGGGCATATTTTATTATTTTCATTGTTATTCAAGTATATTAAACTAATAATCAAGCTTAGGATCAGTATTCTTTAATCATTAAGCAACTTATCCGTAACCAAAAGGGCTAATCTCAGGCTTTTAACTTACTTACACCTGTTACCCCTAATGGAGCATAGGTTGCCGACTAACGAATCACTTTTTCTAGTTAGCGATTTGGCTTTCTACGCGATGGTGTTACTAATCTCAAGCCCAACCGTCCTCCCTTACCCGGGTATGGAACCAGCAGTAACTCGGGAAGGACTCCAGGTGGAGTTCTCAGGCTTTTAAGCACCAATATAAATGTTTGATGTATTGGTGTTTTCATGTCTCCTCCATCTTATACATTTTTTGAATCATAAATCTAGTGATTTCACTTATTAGTCAAGTACAGCTTCTCGTAAAACTAGCTTTGAATCACTAATTTTTTAGTGGCTAATAATAATATTACTCAGGTAGAGAAGGAGTTTATACTTGTAAGTCGGATTGAAAGTCAAGTGCCTAAATCACTAAAGTTAATATTCTACCACTTTCTGAAAACAACAATACAAAGTGACTTGTACTGTAAGGATAATTTAAACAGCTTATGATTTCTTGTCATTATCAAACAGATCTTATGCGGTCTGTAGTTACTCTGGAAGTACTTATTACACACTGAAAAATAGATTTTCCAAGTTATCTTGAAAGTCAGGTGAAATATAAATTCAAAAAATATAACAGTGATCTTTTTATTTTTTGGAAAAAAACGGGTTGGTGCTACTAATCACTTCAATGTATTTATATCGATTTCTAATCAGTCAATCAATCAATAGCAACGTACGTACCTACGTACATCAGTTAATGTTGCCATACCACATTAGCACAAAAATGTAATTGTCAATTCAAATCCCATAGTAGTAGCGGTAGTGAAAGTATTGGCAGTAATCGGAGAGATTAGGGTTCGAAGATATCATTCAAGAAGTAGAATCTAGTGAAATAAACTTAGAAAGAAATAGATAAATGTGGTGAGGAATTCAAAAGGTTACGATTTGGGAGAACACAAAGAATGAATGCACCTGTGCCACTGCAAACGGTTTTCAGCCATGTCACTCAGGGTCTCTAATCATCGATTATTATCATCTCGCGGGCCCCAACCAAGTAGTCCACACCTACCGATATGACTCAGTCCACTTGTCAGTGACTTCATGGATTTGTGCCATGTTTTGGTTTGGTCGCCTCTAGCATTCTTCCAACCTATTCCTACACCGTAAAATATAGTTCGACGAGGCAGTCGGTGGTTAGACATATGCAACACATGTCCCAACCACCTGGACTTATGAAGTTTCAATACTTCATCTATCGTCCTGCCATCCTTACCTAGCACTTGTCACTCTACAATTTTTTCACTCGTTATCCTTGCGGTTAAGCCAAGCAAGGGAACATATTTACACATTTTCAAATGTACCACCTGCTTGTATGTTGTGAAGATTAACTATGTCTGATGAAGTAGAAGCTGAAGCTACGTTAGTTTTAAGATGTTTGAAACAAATATGTCAGTAGAAATTTAATTGTTTATTATTATTGCCTCACCAATAATAATCTTCTCCATTGCTGCTAATAATTCTACTATCGCTATCACTCTTTGATTTGAACTGACAGTTACGTCTCTGTGCTGATGTGGTATGGCAACCTGAACTGATGTACTTATGTACGAAGTTCTGCGTTGTATCTATCTGTCTGTCTATCTATCTATTAGTGCATCGAATTTAATAGTTTATGTACGAGTATGCACACCTATCTAATTACTTACTTACTTACTTACGCCTGTTACCCCCAATGGAGCATAGGCCGCCCACCAGTTTTCTCCAACCAACTCTGTCCTGGGCTTCCCTCTCCAGTTCTGTCCAATGTTTGTTCATTCCTCTCATATCTTTCTCTATTCCTCGGCGTAGTGTGTTCCTTGGCCTTCCTCTTTTCCTTTTGCCTTGAGGGTTCCATGTGAGGGCTTGTCTCGTGACGCAGTTAGGTGGTTTTCGTAGTGTGTGTCCTATCCACTTCCAACGCTTCTTCCTCATTTCCTTCTCCACTGGAATCTGGTTTGTTCTCTCCCACAGTTCGTTGTTGCTAATGGTGTCTGGCCAACGAATCCTCATTATTTTGCGTAGACAACTGTTAATAAACACTTGTATCTTCTGGATGATGGCTTTCGTAGTTCTCCATGTTTCCGCTCCATACAGTAGAACTGTTTTCACATTTGTATTGAAAATCCTGATTTTGGTTTTGGTTGAAAGTTGTTTGGAGTTCCAGATATTTTTCAACTGTAGAAATGCAGCCCTCGCTTTGCCAATCCACACCCTCACATCTGCATCGGATCCACCTTTCTCGTCGATGATGCTGCCCAGTTATGTAAAGGTGTTAACTTCCTCCAAGGCATCTCCATCAAGAGTGATTTGGTTGTTGCATGTTGTGTTGCATCGGAGAATTTTGCTTTTCCCTTTATGTATGTTGAGACCTACTGCTGCAGAGGCTGCTGCTACACTAGTCGTCTTCTCTTGTATTTGTTGTTGAGTGTGCGATAGAAGAGCCAAGTCATCTGCGAAGTCCAGATCGTCTAGCTGCGTCCTAACCGTCCAGTTGATACCGTGCTTCCCTCCAGATGTCGACGTTTTCATAATCCAGTCGATGACCAAGAGAAAGAGAAAGGGTGAGAGTAAGCAACCTTGCCTGACACCGGGCCGGTCCCAAGCCCGGATAAAGGAGGAGGGTTGGACATGGGGTTGGCGACCCCATTCCGTCGAAATCTCACTTGCCAAAAAAAGCGCTAACCAGAAAAAATAACTCAAACACCTATCTAATAGTAATTCTTAAGTATCGTGGCTATATCACTGGAATCTGTCCAACCATAAATCAAGTGTTCAGTTTCATACTGACACCATAAAACTAATATGTTGTTGCTTTTTTTAAAAAAAAAAACGAAAAACGAACCAATAATCCATATGCATCCTTTCATGTTTTATTTTTTGAAATTTTTTTTTACTTCAGATTCCATTACATGTATTCAGTTTACTTGAACATTATGAAATAATTTATAATTATGGAATACAATTATTATTCACTCATAGACCTTTAGAAGCATTCACTATACTATCACAATTGGTTCGTATTTATCCTAGAAATCCTCGTCTATGGTTTCGACTAGCAGAATGTTGTATAAAATTGCATTGGTAGGTATGTTATATTATTGTTATAATTATGATATATTTTATTTCCGATAACTTGCTCCTATTCATTTTCAGATCTGCCTACTAGATCGTTCATATTTATGACCATTATTTTGTTTATTTTTGAAGTAATATTGCGTTACCCCGACCGAAGCTGCTACCTTGACGTGGTGGTCGGGCTTGCCTATCGTGATGATCCAACCGAGCTATATTGGCTGAAACATATGTTCCTGTATGTTCTAGCATGTCAGGCAGGTCGATTGGAGAACGCCGAGACTAAAAACAGCTACTTGAGGTCTGAGGGCGAAGTCGTACTGCTGACTGTGATGGAGGGGTGTAACAGCAGTAAGGTGTTTCCCTCGGACAAGCAGCATCTGCAGCGATACTGCCTTCTCACAAGGAAGGAAGGGGTTAGAAAAGGTCGACCTTAAAAATGTTACACCTCACCTTATCTCATGGATTTCCGTCTCCGGCTATGAGGCCTTTCAAACAAGAACGGAGCTAACACTTTAGAAACTTCTCATAAAAAGGCTTTGCGTAACCGGCCTGAAGCAATTCTCCCTTGGGCTCTGCGGTCGCGCTCCAAGATCTCCAGGACCAACGCTAATCTACCTTCTTTTTTCAGGTTCCTCAAGATACACTTCCACGGTGTGGGCAGTCGGGAAGTGACATCCGCCCTCATACCCGTAACAGCACACTAGACCAATTCGGTCATAATCAAGTCAATATTATGTTACACATTGAAATCATCAATCAGTAATTGTTAGACCACCATTAGAAACCTGGAAGCACTGGACGGCCGTTTCGTTCTGGTATGGGACTCGTCAGCAGTGCGCATCCAGGACTCCTGCACCTGGCAGGATTCGAACCCGGGACCTTCGGTTTTTTTGCGCGAACGCCTAACCTTCGGACGCTGGCATCCAACTCTGTTAATGTTTAACTCTAATCAATCTACAGATGACTTAAAAAGCTATTGAATTTAACATGTAATTTTTTAATTAAACGGAAATTTTTATTGTGGCTTGTAATTGTTTTTTTTCTTGTCAAATTTAATTTTCTTATTTTGTACAGTCCGGTTATTTAACAGCTTCATTAAACAGTATGTGATTAACTTTTTCAGAATTACAAATCACTAGATAAACTGTAAAAATTTCTTTTTGTTCTTGTATAATTCTTATTCTGTAGTATTTTACTGTGATTACATAATTTATTACACGAAAATTACCCGTTACTTTTTCCTTCACATATATATATGTATATTTAGTCCACATAACTTATCACTTTGGAAAATGGAATCAAGAAAACGATGTATTGTTGAAAGTTTTGGTTCCGGTCCATTTCGTAAATTATTACTTGCTTGTGTAAATCCACAGGTCAGTTGAATTGTGTATCATCATTTTAAAATGATCAATGTTCAATGATATTATAATGGTGAAGGTCAATTTCTTGTTTATAACAACTGAATTTCCGCCTATAATAGTTCAAGTGTAGTTAGTTTAAATCTATGTATTATCATTGGTTGACTAATATTGGAAAATATTCATTGTTTGCACTAGGCATTATTACTATTATCTGCATAATCATGCTGCTTGTGACAGATCAAAATCTGTCTTGTTCAATTTTTGTTTAATCTGATTAATTCATGCATTCCATTGATGATTTCTAAACTAAAACTATTTCAATTAGTCAGTAGTTGTTATAAGTAGCATAATATATCTCGTATAAATTTCGATCGATTCTCTGGATGACAATTTATATATTTGCACAGTAGGAAAGAAATCAATAGAATGTGAACTAATAAACTCTAAGTGATTCTATCAATATCATTATTATAACTCAACTTTAAAAAGAAAATATATATAATGCATTGAACTGCATCACTGCTACCGGTCGTCCGAAATCTGTAGTCAAGAGATCCAACTCTGATTATACGTCTCAGATCCCCAGTCAGTGACTTCACTGACTAATGTGATGCTGTTCCTAGCCTTCCAGCTATCAGTAAATGTGTTGGGGTTGTCAGTAGCTAAATAGTTGTAACATATCCTTGGCACCTCTGTGCATATAAATGTCCACAATTTTATCAATCAATTTCATTTCTTTTGTAATCAGCATTGACTTAATGGTAGATTCATTTGAAATGATTATGTAATTTGATAGAAGGCTCCGATTATTCACAAATCTGCCATGTGAATTAGTTTTCAGTCTGTTTATTTTATTTATTGGTACACTTTCGTGTAAGTAGATTGGATTAGTGTTGTTCGTTAAGTTGCACTAACTCAATTGGCTGTATTAAAATACAGGGGTTTTAGACACATTTAGTTGTTCTGTGTGTTGAGTTTTAATTCAAAACACTAATCTACTTATTTTAGTGTAGGCAGCTATATCATTTCCGTAGTTCTCACACCAATATAAGTTCGATCAGAAGTGATTTACTGCAAGAACTCTTAAATATAGTTAGTAAATTGGATTGTGTTCTCATTTTTATTGTCAACTGACTTTTACTTACTTCTGTTACCCTCAATGGAGCATAGGCCACCGACCAGTATTCTCCAACCTACTCTGTCCTGGGATTCCCTTCCTAGTTCTTTCCAGTTTTTGTTCATTCTTCTCATATCCGTTCCCGTTTCTCTTCATAATGTGTTCCTTGGCCTTCCTCTTCGCCTATGACCTTGAGGGTTCCATGTGAGGGCTTGTCTTGTGACGCAGTTGGGTGCTTTCCGCAGTGTGTCCTATCCACTTCCACCGCTTCTTCCTTAATTTCCTCCTCCACTGGAATCTGGTTTGTTCTCTCCCACCGTAGGTTGTTTCTGATCGTGTAACAGCACGCGAGACCAAATTGGTCAAAATCAAATCCTTCCTACACCCCCTAATGTCTCTCTTATCTCCACGACTAACTCTACTCACACTCCCTTTTCTCACTGCACCGCTAATGCAGAGGAAGCGAGATCACGAAACGTCGTTCCTGGTCTCTTGAAACCCCGTTCTAGACTACATGTTGGAGCTTTCAATGTACGGACATTGTATCAAATAGGGCAACAGGCATCATTAGCTAGGACTTTAGAAACTCATGCCATCGATGTATGCTGCGTCTCGGAAACGCGCATACAGGATCCTAGTAAAGTCATTAACCTGATTCCACCTTGTCAAAACGAAGCAGCAGCCCGATTCACTCTTCGTGTATCCGGTAGCCCTGATGCTGCTTCCAGGGGTCTTGCTGGCGTAGGCATAGCGTTGAGTCCTAGGGCAGAATTATCTCTACTAGACTGGATCCCAGTAGATAGTCGTTTGTGCGCTGTCCGACTAAACGGGACAGTAAGGACTCGTAAAGATAGGGACACTCGCCGTTGTCTCTTCGTCATATCTGCCTATGCCCCCACTGACTGCAGTTCAGACGAGGTTAAGGATGAGTTTTACAGAAAGCTTTCGGACCTCCTCCAAAAAGCTAGGCGCTCTGATGTAGTAATAATGGCTGGTGACTTTAATGCTCAAGTAGGTAGACTAGGTGAAAAGGAAAGACATCTAGGTGGATGTTATGGTGTAGCTACTGAGAGAACAGACAATGGCGACCGTCTGTTGCAACTATGCTCAGATAACCGCCTATTCTTAGCGAACACCAACTTTAGGCATAAGGAAAAGCATCTGCTGACCTGGCGACCTCCAAAGTCGTCTCAACGTTGGACTCAACTAGATCACATCGCCATCAGCCACCGATGGAGGGGTTCGATAGAAGACTGTCGCTCGTTCTGGGGCACATGTTTGGATTCAGATCATGCTCTAGTACGAGCTCGTATCTGTTTGAGGCTTACTGGACGTAGGAAAGACACCGTAAGGAAGCCTCTTAGGGTTTTACTTAATGATAATCAAACTAAAAAAATATTCCAGGAGCAACTAGAAAGAGAGTTAAGCAACGATGTAAGTGATTCCCATCCAGAAGCAGATTGGTATGATATCAAAAAGGCTGTGGAAACAGCAGTGACATCTGCTAGTAAGGTAAACCATAAGGCTAGGATGAAGCCGTGGATATCAGTCTCATCTACCGAACTGATGGATGCTCGAAAACTCATCCCACCTGACTCTGAGCATGATGAAGAGCGTAGTCAGCTTAGGCGCAGACTTATAAAAAGTCTGCGTAACGACCGCGAACAGTGGTGGGTGGCGAAAGCAAAAGCGATGGAAAAGGCAGCGGCGATCGGTAACACTAGACAACTTTTCCGCCTTATTAAAGAAACTGGTATTAAGAACTCGAATGTGAGTGAGACTATCTCGGAAAAGGATGGTCTTATTATCCATTCTCAATCCAGGAGACTAGATCGATGGGCAGAACACTTTAGGGATCAGTTCAACTGGCCACGAGCCACTCTTCGGTTACCCACGATCTCCAGTCATCCTGAATGGCAAATCGACCTAAGTCCCCCTAGTCTTAATGAAGTTGAGAAAGCGTTAGGAAATCTGAAGCGAGGACGAGCTGCAGGTCCTGATAGACTGACCCCTGAGATATTTAAGGATGGTGGTCCAGTTTTAGCAGCTAGGTTGACTGAGATCTTAGGTAGAATATGGGAACTGGACGCAATCCCATCCGACTGGTCTCAATCCTTGATTGTCCCAATCTATAAGAAAGGACAAAAGTCTTCTTGTGACAATCACAGGGGAATAAGTCTAACTAATATAGTATCTAAAATATTGGCCTCAATAATACTTCGACGCTTAACGAAAGCTCGTGAAGAGCAGACTCGAGAAAATCAGGCTGGTTTTCGACCTGGGCGTGGTTGTATAGACCACATCTTCACACTACGACAGGTCCTGGAACATAGACACACATTTAGACGTCCGACTATAGTTGTTTTCCTGGACCTTAAGGCGGCATTTGACTCAGTGGATCGTGAGGTTCTGTGGCAGTGTCTGTCATTGAAAGGTGTACCAAAGAAGTACATTAACCTTATACAAGCTCTCTACTCGAACACCACTGGTCGAGTGAGGGCTTATGGCGAACTGTCACCGGAATTCTCTACATCAAGTGGTGTCCGTCAGGGATGTCCACTCTCTCCATTCTTGTTTAATTTTATCATAGACATGCTCCTAGAAATAACCTTATCCTCGTCTGAATTTTCTGGAGTAGACCTTCTACCAGGTGGCTCGCTTACTGATTTAGAATATGCCGATGACATTGTCCTACTTGGTGAAGACGCTGACAAAATGCAGAGTCTTCTGACTACCCTGAGCAACAATGCAAGCATGTTCGGGATGCGGTTTTCACCCTCGAAATGCAAAATGTTGCTTCAAGACTGGGTTGCATCGGCACCTGAACTAGTGATAGGAAGTGAAGTAGTCGAGCGTGTAGACCGCTTCACTTATCTTGGGAGTCTCATCAGTGCCGATGGCCTGGTGACTGACGAAATCTCAGCACGGATACAGAAGGCTCGATTGGCTTTTGCCAACCTGCGTCACTTATGGCGTAGGCGAGATATCCGTTTGCTGACTAAAGGACGAGTGTACTGTGCAGCAGTTCGCTCCGTTCTCCTATATGGCTGTGAAACATGGCCAGTGAGAGTAGAAGATATTCGTAAGTTACTAGTTTTCGATCATAGGTGTCTTCGAAGCATTGCTCGTATACCGTGGGACACCCGAGTGAGCAATGCTGTCGTTAGGAAACGAGTACTAGGTAAGGATGGCAGATCAATCGATGAAGTGGTGAAACTTCATCAGTTGAGGTGGTTGGGACATGTGTTACGTATGCCTAACCACCGACTGCCTCGACGAGCTATGTTTTGTGGTGTAGGAGTAGGTTGGAAGAAAGCCAGGGGCGGCCAGACCAAAACATGGCAGAAATCCATGAAGTCACTGACAAGTGGACTGAGTCATGTTGGTAGATGTAGACTACCTGGTTGGGGTCCGCGAGACGAAAGTCATCAATGGTTAGAGACCTTGAACGACATGGCTCAAAATCGTTTGCAATGGCGCAGGTGCATCCACTCTTTGAGCTCTCTCAAATCCTAATCTTCTGGATTCATCAGCACCTCTACCTTTGTCTTTCTAACCTTATCTCACTGAATTATATTTCTTGAATAATATCTTCTGACCCTAACCTCTCCGATTACTTCTAATTCCCTTACTACCTCTTCTACTATTGGATTTGAATTGACAATTATATGTCTGTGCTGATGTGGTATGGCAACATGAACTGATGTACTTATGTACCAAGTTCTACGTTGCATCTGACTGACTGACTGACTGATCGTGTCTAGCCCACGAATCCTCATTATTTTGCGTAGACAACTGTTAATGAATACTTATATCTTGTGGATGATGCCTTTCATAGTTTTCCAAGTTTCCGCCCCATACAGCAGAAGAACTTGCTTTTACTACTACAAGATTTTTTATCCATAGAAAAATCTTCAGTTTAAATTGTATCATTCAACAACATGAAGTATTCATGTATAATATGCTTACTTGATGTTTACTTATTATTTTTTTTCATCATCATTTATAGACTATTAAATCAAAATTCGATGAAACATTATTATCATCTCCAAGTATGGAATTTGCTTATCTGGCATTACGTAATGCAAGCTTATTAATTCCAGCATTTGATAAATTTATTACAACAAATAAATCTTTAAATCATGATACAATTCATTCATCATCCTATGCTTTAACTCTTGTGAAATGGTCAGCTAAACAAGTTAGTAATTCATTATCATTGATCAATAATTGTAAATCCTATAAATTCATGTGACCATGTTGTGTGATCTGACCCAATTGTATATCACATCCAAACAGTACTACAATAACAACATAAAGAACATTCACAAGACTTAAATAGATGATGGCGTCAGTGTAGGAATGAGTTTGTCAAATGGAGCCAATACTGAAGCAGCATTACTAAACTTATGATTTAACACAAGATAACAACCATATGTGATTATTGTTGGGAGATGTAGGAGAACCACTAATAACTCATCAGAAGTTCATACATTGAGTACCTTTAAATGTCTACGGAGAATCATAAAACTGATCAGATTCCTGAATTGTCTCCTCACTACTCGGAAACTCATAGTGAAGACCAGTTTGGAAGAAATAACTTCCGAATCGATCCCTTGTTAGAGTTAGAATTAGCTAAAGTACGTCTGGCTCAGACAGAAAGAGAAATTGAGTTAGAACAGTTACGTCAAGGAGGAAGAGAATATTGTAACCAAGTCAAGGATGATAAGGTTATGTCCTACGGATCTACATCTGCCTCGCGTACGGCTGATAATAATTCTGGAAAGGACTAGATAAGAATGATATCTAAAGCTTTAAACCTACCCAAGAGAGAAATCATAAGGTTTGATGGTAATCCCATGAACTACTGGAGTTTCATACGGAATTTCGAAGACTGTTTTGATGAAAGCGTCGGATCTCGATCTAAGTTAAACTACTTGATTCAATATTGTGATGGTGAAGCTAAGGCTACTATTGTTCATTGTGCATTGCTTGAACCAGAAGAAAGCTATCGTAAAGCGTCAGAGTTTTTTGAGAAAACATCAGGACAGAAACCTGGCGTAGAGATAAAGTTTAAAGCAAAAGTTGATCTTGTTCTGACTATAACTTTCCCATAGACTATGTGATCGCCAATATTGCATATACCGTTGTACAATTACATCTTTAGGACAAATTAAATAAAGGTCAAGCTATCTAGTGTTTTAATCATTATAACATTTATGAATCTCAATCTCTATAACTCTATCATGAAAAATTGTACAATACGCTCACTGGTGACTAGCCTCGTGAGGAAACTGTCGGAGTTCTAGTGAGAAGACGTGACCAGTGGAGCTCAACAGTGTCAGGTGTAGACAATAACTACCGAAGACAAATGGGTGAGGTTTCACAAAATCTTTAGATTGATCAGAGTTAGACATTAACACCATTGGATGCCGTCTCAGTGGTCTAGAAGTAAGGCGTTTTCTCACAATGCTGAAAGTCCTGAGTTTAAATCCTGTGAGGTTCAGGAGTTGTGGATACGCGCTGTTGATGAATCTCATATCAGGATGAAACAGCCACCCAGTGCTTCCAGTTTTATAGTGGTGGCCTAACATTAATTGATTCATGTTTACAATAATAATCTCAATAAGTTGTATAGCGATCATTATTAAATCAATGTTGTTATTTTATTTACGAATGAATTATAAATACAATTGTACAACTTGAGTAAATGATATTGTCAAGAAGAACATTTTCTTTGTTTAATCTTGCTAATTCTGTCATATTATTTTTATCCACTTTTAATATATGATGCATTGTTGTCGTACTTGATTTAGTTTTTGGCATTTGTTCAAGAAACCACATAGATGATTGAATTGTATATTATCCGCTACAGTTTTCTAACTACAAGAAACTGTTTCATTTTCCATTGTTAATATGGCATATAGTTAGTTAGTTGGATTGTATTAAAAATCTTTCTAGTTGATTATTTAAATGAATTATTTTATTAGATCAATGGTTTTGTCAATATTTCTTAGAACGGATTTGATTGTGACCAATTTGGTCTTGTTTGCTTTTATGAATATGAGGGTGGATGTTACTTCCCGGCTGTCCACATCGTGAAAGGGTTCTGGTTGTCAGAAGAGGCATTGGCCTCATGACTTCCGAATGAACTCGGCTTTCATCATGAGACGTCATAATTTTTTTAAATGAAGACCTTCTAACTCCTAGGGCAGAGTTTATATGGTTTGAATTATTATTTCTTGTTAGCGTTTTTTTGGCAAGTTAGTTTTTTCCGGGATGGGGTCGCCAACCCTCCCCCTGGCTTAGGACCGGCAGTAGCCCTGAAGTGTCTACAGGCGGAGTTAATATATCTTAGATGAAAAGTTATAGCTTTTTTAATGTTAACTAACAACTTAATTCTATCAGATGTACAATAGTTATATCTACAAGGATAACTTAGGCTGATTCTGTTGGGGATGTTAGATCCCCAAAACTCGCTTGTTAAATGCCTTATTTTGGATTTCACGTTTGCCAGCATAAAATGATCAGTTGACCTTGAAATTCCATTTCCCACCATGAAGATCCATGGCTGTGATTGGTTGCTGTGTGTTTTTGTGTGCTATTTTTGTAACTGTCCCAACGACGTTTCTATGGTGTATAAATAAACGAGAGTTGTATGCTTGATTGTATTGTGATTGCTGGGTGTTTGTATAGTATACTTTCTACGCTTACAAAGTCTTCTGTTTTACTGTTTGGATTCAAGGTAGCCTACCTGGACACTGTTAATTGTCTCGTTCGCGTTTAGCGACTAAGATGAACTTGTAATAGCTTCAAGCGTACGTAGTGACGAACCCTACAGATTTATATGTGTACCGGATCCTACAGTGTTAATTCATCACTTAGCAAGTAATGAACTTCTTTAATTGGGGCACTATCATTAACTTTCATTTGATCAATATGTTGAATAGTATACAAGTTTGTTTTAATTAGTTACTGCATTTTATTTTTAACTATTCAATTTCAGTGGTTTAATTTGATTTTTTTAATATACTGTCTAACTTATTGATTTTTATTTTTAATAGTTTATTGCCACTTATCCATCACCAACACCATTGTTCGGTATTGGATTATTACACTTCTTGTCAGCTTTACATGTAAACATATCGTATGTGGCTTTATGTTTAAATCAATTTGTAGACGTAATATCTTCTGCAAGTAATTTGATCATAGATTCCATATCACACAATGAAACTACCTTATCTACCTTGTCTAATTCAGTTGGATTGGTTAAACGTAAAACAAATCTACCAAATCTTGGTGTGATTGCTCCGAAAATTCATAGTTATTTATCGCGTTTGTATTATGCTGAAGCTTTAACATACATGGATAAGTATGTTTTTTATTCAAATTACTTTGTGTATTGTTGCTTTTATTGACGGTGATATTAGATATTAGATTCATTTTTCAACTTATGGTATATGTAGATATCTACATAGTTAACATGACATTAATGTCACAACGATATTAATCAACCACCAGTTCAGGGGCTAATGGTTGAGAGATACTGAGGTTAGACTCAAAACAATCAACAAATGTGTCAAATTATTCGATAAAACTGTGAATCTTCATTAACTGAAGTGGTTAAACATTCACTACAGATGTCCAACCGCCCCCTTACTTCGACGTGTAATGTTAGCTGGTGCAACATTAGTTTGGAAGAACGATGGAAGCAGTCAAATCAGGATTTGGCATCGGTCTATGCGATCAGTTATTGTTAGTGTTAGCCGTGTAATTAGGTGCAGACTATGTAGCTGTGGTCTGAGTCAATATCGTGACCCCAGCTATTAGAGATGTTGGGTGATAAGGCGTAGATGCTTTCTTGAACCTTCTCTATTATGCCTAGTCTTTTCTACTACCATTACTTGTATTACATTGGCAATCATAGTAATTCTGTCTCGTTGTACTGATGTAGTGTGATAATTGGAGTTGTTGTATATTTGTACTAGGTTCTATGTACTTAGGATTTACTAGACCATTGGTACAATTTTATATTTCATGCATAAAAGTTTGACGAGCGATATTTTATGGTTTAGGGGGTAGGTCGGAAGAAAGCTAGGAGCGACCAGATCAAAATATGGCACAAATCCGTGGAGTCGCTGATAACTAGACTGGGCCATGACAGTACAGTACGTGTAGACTATCAGGTTGGGGTCAGCGAGACAATAGTGACTGATGGTTAGAGACGTTGAATGACATGGCTCAAAATCGTTTGCAATGGCGCAGGTGCATCCACTCTTTGTGTTCTCTGAAGTTCTAATATTCTGAATTCGTCATCACCTCTACTTTTCTCACTGAATTTTACTTCTTGAATAATTTCTTCGAATCCTAATCTTCTCCTTTACCAGAAATACTTCTACTATCTGAACCAACATGGTATTTGAACTGACAGTTGCGTCTTTGTGCTAATGTGGTATGGCAACATGAACTGTTGTACTTACGTACGAAGTTCTACTTTGTAACTGACTGACCGCATAAAAGTTTGACTTTACAAATTGGTAATATAAATTATTAGAACTGATGTAATAATGGCGAATACTGATAAATGTGAATGATTAACGTAGACAACTTCACCATCTCCTTTTTTACCCCCGGCTAGTGAAGAGAGAAAAGATATCTTGATCAGATTTTTAAAAAAAACCACTTGGTCGATCAAAGAAGACTGACACTGTGTTCAGACGTTGTATAAGAATTTTTGAAAAAAAAAATTATTTTTATTTCAACATGAGGACATTGGTGCAACAAGGCACCAAAACATGTATATGCTACAATAAAAAATCAAGTCGTGAGTAGATAGAGAAATAAAAGTGATTATAATAAAAAGAGAACAAAATTGAATAGAAATTAACATATCAGAGTGAAACGATGATAATAATAATAATGATAATAGTGTGAGATGCAGTTCAGTTAAGAAAAAACAACTAGAAAGGATTCTTTCAGTTAGAGAAGTTCATCTCAAACAGTGGCTTCTATTTTGAGTCGTGTCAGATAACGTCTCAAGTCACTGAGTTTCCAACCTACTCCTACACCACAAAATATAGCTCGTCGAGGTAGTCGGTAGTTGGGCATACGTAACACATGTCTCAACCACCTCAATTGATGAAGTTTCACTACTTCATCAATTGATCTGCCATCCTTACATGGCACCCGTTTCCTAACAACAGTGTTGCTCACTCGGTTGTCCCAAGATAAATGAGCAATGCTTCAAAGACACCTATGATCGAAAACCCGTAACTTACGAATATCCTCAACTCTTACCGGCCATGTTTCGCATCCGTATCGTAGGACGGAGTGAACTGCTGCACAGTAGACTTGTCCTTTAGTTAAGAGATGGATATCTCGCCTACCTCATATGTGACGCAAATTGGCAAATGCCGATCGAACTTTCTGTATCCGCGCAGAGATTTCGGCAGTCACCAGGTCATCAGCACTGATCAAACTCCCCAGATGAATGAAGCTGTCAACACGCTCTTATCAGTGTGATTTAAGTGTTAGCTGATTTATCTGAGTACTGGGAAAAGTTCCAAACTGTAATTACTATCTAACTACTACTCTGCAATCAACTATAATATTTAGATTCTGACTGTATAAACCATCCAGTTAAATATAATCATATAGTTGTATTCAGAATACTTCATTAATATACACAAAACAGCCTCTTTTTCCTATAAATATTCATATGAAACTTAAATCTCGCGTTTTCCAATATTTTTTTTGCAGAGTAGACGAAGCTATTGCCTTACTACAAATAGTTACAAATAATGAATTAGATTGTATTATTCATCGTTTAAATGGTGTTTGTTTTGCAAGGCCATTTCTTTTTCCTAATACGGATCATATTCATAAGCTTTCTTTTATCAATGATTCAATGAAGAACAGCTTGAATGTTAATCATCAAATTAATCATTCACTTCTGTTGCCCAGTACATATTCACGACAGTCAATTATTCAACCTGTGGACTTTCCTTCTAATGCTATTCAAGTTAGTTTATTAGTGGATTACTTTTCTTTTTAAAAAAACTTTTTACAGTTCATCATTATTTATCGTTTCTAAATTCAATAGAGTTTTATTATGGGGCAGAGTTTTGGAGGTTTGTGTTTTTACACATTTGAAATCATCAATCAATCATTGTTAGACTAGCACCATTAGAAACCTGGAAGCACTGGATAGTGGCCGTTTCGTCCTGGTATGGGACTCATCAGTAGCAGTGCGCACCCACCAGACTCCTGCTCCTCGCAGGATTCGAACCCGGGACCTTCAATGATCAATATTAACCGCGTTTCTCGAATTAGAGAAACCTTACTTGTATCTATTATGTATTTAATGAATATTTTTTTATTTTGTCTTCAATAGACGTAGTTTATTATCTTGAGCTGTTTTTAAATTGTGTTAATAGATTTATAGAGGGCTTCTACTCTTTGATTGATACACTCACCTTGAAGCTAAGTAGTTTATATAGGACCGAAATTCATCTTTTAAAGTTTAGTCAATCGTCTGTATGACTTATTACTGAATCTACAAACTCATATAACAGGTGACAGTGTTCTTATCAATTGAAATAAAATGTTTTGAGTCATTCATTAGTAGACTACTGATTTGATTTTGGTTTTCAATCCTAATGAAAATCTTTTGATCATGAATCATGATATAATATTTAAACATAGTCAGTTAGTCATCTACGACGTAGAACTGTGGTGGCCGATTTCAACGGCAGCTTACCAGATTTGTGGTGGCCCATTTCGACGTCGGGCTCACCATTTGTAGTGTGTCAATTTCGACGTGTTCTCAATCGTCGTGATTAGCTCGTCCAGACAATCGTTACCAACTAGCGTCTGACGGTTTATAAATAAGGAGGTGAACTCGTAGTGTTGAATACGTTTATTTTTGATACACCACAAAGCGAAGCGGAGAAGCAGCGAATAAAACGAATGAAGCGACGTGAATTGGAGGAGGCTGTTAAGCCAACTCCCAGAGATAGAGCATGACTAAGAATATATAGTCAGACAAAAAATAAGACAGACATATGACCAACGAGACAGGCATGCACACACATGAATAAAAGCGACGAATGATTGACAAGGTCAAAAGCAAGCGAGACAAGTCATGTGAGCTTATGCAAACCAGACAATAGTATGAGCGAAAGGTACATATAAGTTGTTGTTACGCGAATGGCTTGGTTAAATAAATTAATCGAAAGGGCTTAACCAAATTAGATGTAAGCGAACTCGTATATATGTGGAGGCACTCCAGAACTTCTTACGTATGTACATTAGTGCAAGTTGTCATACTACATTGGCTCAGAGATGCAATTGTCAATTCAAATCCCATAGTGGTAGGATGTAGCAGAAGTATCAGCGGTAGTGGAGAAGAGTGCGGTTCTAAGAAATTATTCAAGAAGTATAATTCAGTGAAATAAATTTAAAAACAAAGGATAAAGAATGAATAAACCTGCACCATTGCAAACGATTTTGAGCCATGACATTCAAAATCTCTAACAATCAGTTACTATTGTCTCGCGGACCCCAACCTGATAGTCTACGCCTACTAACCATGGCTCAGTCCAGTTGTCAGTGTCTTCATGGATTTATGCCATATTTTGATCTAGCCGCCCGTAGATTTCTTCCAGCCTACCTCTACAGTGTATTTCGTCTTAAATATAATGAATAAAACTCCTTGAAACTAGTATTACTTGATTTTGTATACTTTTCCTTCAATATAGTAGGAGTAACATATTCTATTTGTTTTAATCAATGTCATTTTTTATCTTAAGAAAAATTAAAAATCATTTTTATCTTTTTTACTTTAGTCATCATCATTATTGGCTTACAATTTAGCTGTGGCATTAGCTATTCAAAAACAATATTCTTTATCAAAACAATACTTGGATTTATCAATACCAGGTTTGTATGTCACAGCAAATGAAGTAGACGGTCGAAATTGGCATTTGAGCACTAATGAACTGTCTGAAGACTCCACATTAATCAATCATACTAATAATCATCCTTGTAAACTATTACCAACGGCAGTTATTTTATTACAAATCTATTTAGCTCTACGTTTAAATGATCAAAAACAAGCAATTGAATTGATACGTGACAATTTCGGTCATCTTGCAATGGCTAATCGGTTAAATTCAATAATTCATATGCACAATAATAATGATAATAATAATAGTAATAACGAATTACATTCTGCACCATCCAATGCACACGATCCTAGTAATCATCATCATCATCCTAATCATCCTGATCATCCACCAATCATTGGTAGTGGTAAACATTTCCCATCGCATTTAACTGATTTACAACAACAATTGATGAAAAGTCAACCGATACAACATAATACCACTAATAATAATAATAATGGTATGATTGCACATCAAATACATTCGACACCAACGATGCCACAAATACAACAATCCACTATGAGTAATAATACTACACAAACAAATAATCAACGAATTAATTTATGGACACCATGTCAACAATTTCGTCAATCACAAATTCAACAAAATCAATCAATGTATTATTCACCATTGTTACAAACACAATCTACGCTGAATAATTATGATTATGCTAATTGTTGGGATCCAACTATATCATCATCAACTACTGGTATTATTACAGCGAGTAATGAAAATGATTGGCCACCTTTATCATAAACTATTATTAATTGGTATTCAGTATTATTTCTTGCCCTCTTTTTTTGGCTTTGGTTTATTTTTTAATTTTAATAAATAATCAAGTGTTGTTGTATAATCTTTTTGTTTATTTATTAGTCATGAATTGATGTGGTTGGGCAACTTGTAAAATGGACAAATTCAAGAGTAATCTTATGTTTAGACAAAATATTGGCGAACTATAATAGAGACGATAGTCATAAGAATCCCTATGTTTGTAGCTACTATCTTGACCTGATGGTTCAACTTGTAATATCATGATGAACCAGTCGAACTGTATTGACTGGAATATTTGTTACTATAGCTCCTACTATGTCAGGTCACTTGGTTGGAGAATTATGATACTAAGAGAAACGACCTAACATTGGAGGGTGATTTCGTACTACTACTGCGCAGTAGTTCGCTCCTTCTTACTTTATGGTTGTGAAACATGACCAATGAGAGTAGAAGATATTCGTAGGTTACTGGTTTTCGATCATAGATGTCTTCGAAGCATTGCTTTTATATCCTCGGACACCCGAGTGAGCAACGCTGTTATTAGGAAACGGGTGCTAGATAAGAATGGCAAGTCAATAGATGAGGTATAGGAACCCCATCAGTTGAGGTGGTTGGGACATGTGTTGCGTATGCCTAACCACCGACTGCCTCGACGAGCTATGTTTTGTAGTGTGGGAATAGGTTGGAAGAAAGCTAAGGGCGGCCAAACCAAAACATGGCAGAAATCCATGAAGTCATTGACGAGTGGACTGAGCCATGTTGGTAGTTGTCGACTACCTGGTTGGGGTCCGCGAGATGATAATAATCGATGGTTAGAGACCTTGAACAACATGGCTCAAAATCGTTTGCAATGTCTCAGGTGCATCCACTCTTTATGTTCTGTGAAGTTCTAACCTTCTGAACTCCTCATCACCTCTATCTTTCTCTTTCTAAATTTACTTCACTGAATTATACTTCTTGAATACCTTCTTCGAACTCTAATCTTTCCGATTACTTTTACTACCTCTACTACTATGGGATTTGAATTGACAATTATATCTCTGTGCTAATATGGTATGGCAACTTGTACTGCTGTACTTACGTGCAAAGTTCGACGTCGATAATGATTTGATGCATTTTAGTCTCTGCTATTAGGTCCAACTCATATACACTATAATTATCATATATGAATGAGACAGCATTGTTCTCATAATTTCAACTCATAGATTACGTCCATTATTTTTTTGTTATGTAAGACGTGTTATAATCAATGCAGAAACTTTATACAATCTCATTTGGTATACCAGGTTTTGAGAGAACAGTCCAATTATTCTCATAAATTATTACAGATCTTGTCTGTATGTTCAGTCCTCTTCATAATCATAAACACGATTATTTCTATTACATTATATTAGTTGTTAGCTTCGTCTTATAGTGCTCAACAAATGTCATAATTTGAGGTAGTGGATTTATTTACTAGACTCTACTCTAGATTGTTTTGACTAATTTATTTAACTTCCTTTTATCTCTCACAGTCAACTTTAATTTCTCGATTAATTTCATTAAATTACTCAATAATAATAATAATAATAATACACTCATTCTGTAAAAGCTAAAAGATGTGAAATCGATTATTCTGACTGTCGTATAGCTGCTAAGAGCTCATTGCATGCGCTAGTAGATAGATGTTGATTGTCATGCGAATTGGTGGTAGTAAAACATTAATCTCAGTTAAAAGGATTTACAGACAGATACAACACAGAACTTCGTACGTGCGTACATCAGTTCAGGTTTCCATTACCGCATTAGCACAGAGACGCAACTGTCAGTTCAAATCTAATAGTGGTAGCGATAGTTAAAAGGATTTAACTAATAATTATGCAATAGTTGATCTTTCTAACAAATAATTTTGTGGTGATCATATCTCTCAATACACTATGTAATTATTATCATTTCCAAAAATCCCTGTTTATCTCTGAGCAAGTGAATTTTTAACGACATTCTGCATATTCTATGGTCTGTGAATCACTATTTATTCCATTCCAGTGTTGACTCTCATATTCTTAACCTTAAAAAAAAAAGATTTTCATTTAATGAACCATCGAATAAGTTATGAGATTTTCTTAGAGCTAGTTCTCATTCGTTTACCTATGTCAATCATTCTACTTAAACAAAATATGTTAATGTGTTTTTTTAAACATATTTGCTTGCACTATTTGGAATTTTAAAGTTCATATAGGATTGCATATAAATTTCGTCCACTGGTAATCGCATAACCAAAAGGCTTTCATTCAGCGTAAATTGAATCCCTAAATCAATCAGATTTAGACTTTAACACCGTTGGATGTCGCCTCAGTGGTCCAGAGGTTGGGCATTCGCGCGTAAAGCCGAAGGTCCCGGGTTCGAATCCCGCGAGGTGCTGAAGTCGTGAATGCACACTGCTGATAGGTCCCATACCAGGACAAAACGACTGCCCAGTGCCGCCAGGTTTCGAATGGTGGTCTGATAGTGATTGACTGATGATTTCAAATGTGTAAATTGAATAATCATTGAGACATATTTTCCCAAACTGGACTTTGTTACATCTCTTGAAACCTGTTGTGTTGTATAATGTTGGTATTTATCGGATATTAGTTATTACTTCAAATTCATTTACGGTGTATGTTAAATTCTTAGTTTACTTGTAAGCTGATTTTATCAAAAACACTTCCTTATATTTGAACTCAGTAGAAATGTAGCTTATATCTTTCTATTGAAAGTTTAAGTCTAACCAATCATCATAAGTTTAGTGAATGTTATTGTGTTACTATTCTGCCCAATATAATTCGAACATCCAAAAAACATAACTTCACATAATCATGTGTAGTTATGATACATAAACTTCAGAAACTTGGAAATTTTTCATTTCACATCTACTTTATCAATCAAGATTACATAAGGATTTTGGTTAGAGATCCTGAATGACATGGCTCAAAACCGTTTGCAATGGCGCCGGTGCATTTATTCATTGTGTTCTCTCAAATCCTAATCTTCTGGATTTTTCAACACCTCTAGTTTTGACTTTCTAAACTTTTCTCACTGAATCATACTTCTTGGATAATATCTTCTAATCCTAACCTCTTCGATTACTTCTAATACCTTTACTACATCTACTACTATTGGATTTGAATTGACAATTATATCTCTGTGCTGATGTGGTTTGGCAACATGAGCTGATGTACTTACGTACGAAGTTCTACATTGCATCTGACTGACTAAGGATTTCGGTCTTATACACTTTCATGTTCTACTGTCGTTATATACTTACTCCATATGGTGTTGAAATGTCTACATTTTCTTAGATAGTTCAAGAATAATATCGTTGAACTCTAATCTCTCTGATTACTGCTAATATTCCTACAATCTCTATCACTATGAAATTCGAACTGACAATGGCGTCTGTGTGTGCTGATAGGGTATGACAACTTGAACTTATGTACTCATATACGAAGTTCTACGTTGTGATTGACTGACTGACGGTTTAAGAATCAGCTGTTCTTTGGTTCAGATTAATCTCAATAATATGGATGAAACCCCTTTCCCTCATCAACGTAACTAGGTTTCCTGTTAGCATCTCATAAGGTCATAACCTCTTTGAACTGAATTGATTTCAGTTACATGTTTAAATAAAATATTCAATATAACAATTTGTCTACTTGTAAGTAGTTAACTTAGAAGTAATTAAATTTACTGAAGTAATACTTGATTAAATATTATGATTGAAAAACATGTTATATATATTCTAATAATGAGATCATTTCCCACATTTATATCATCATATACACAGGTCAAGAAAGAAAAAGGAAATACATTTTGAAATAACTAGTAGTATTGATGATAAGAAGTCAGCAAATAAAACAATTTCATAGAAAGTCAAAATAAACAAAAGAGAATAAGTATAATAAAGAAAATCAATAATGCTAATCATTAATTAATTAATCCATGGATCAATCAATGAATACGTGTCATTTGGTTCATTTTTGAATCAATAGCAAATTCTTGTTTAATTTATATTGAAAAGGTGATTGATACATTGTGTTTGTCGTTCAAACATAAGCCATTTGTTTGTTAATTTTCAAATCATTGAGAATAGAACTAGTATTTTTTTTGATAGAATAGAAGTTTAATGAAAGAATTTCGATTACAACTGTTCTTTTTTGACAAAATCATCTGGAAATGCGTCACTGTTTTGAGTGTCATTAGTTAAATTGTGTAATTTTTTGATATCATTTCGTGACGGTGAATTATGATCATTGCCAACGTGTAGATTAATATCGAAATTATTAGTGAGAATATCATTTTCCGTCTTTATTTCACAAATTGATTTGGGATTCCTTTTAATTAGAAATAATAAAATATGTCCATATTAGTAAATAAGTAATCTGTAATGATATAACATAAACTTATAAGTGGTTAACCTTTTAAAAATACAATAATCATCTGACAGGAAAACTTGAATAGTCATCTTTGTGTGGTGACCATTACACTCAGATCTTTGTCAAATTTAAATAGCAGTATTCATTTGAAATGGTACTCACTTGTACTTGAGGTATTTAAACTGTTATCAACGCAGCCAGTAACTCAATAGTTATGTAATTATCATACTCCAACCAATGACGACTGTTGATGGTGTTGGGGATGTTAGATCCCCAAAACTCGCTTGTTAAATGCCTTATTTTGGATTTCGTGTTTGCCAGCATGGGCTGATCGGTTGACCTTGAGATTCCATTTCCCACCATGAAGATCCATGGCTGTGATTGGCTGCTGTGTATATTAGTGTGCTATTTTTGTAACTGTCCCAACGACGTTTCTATGGTGTATAAATAAACGAGAGTTGTATGCTTGATTGTATTGTGATTGCTGGATGTTTGTAGAATATACTTTCTACGCTTACAAAGCCTTTTTCCTTCAGTTTGAGATTCCAGGTAGCCTACCTGGACGCTGGTACTTGTCTCGTTCGCGTTTATCGACTAAGGTGAACTTGTAATTGCTTCAAGCGTACCAAGTGACGAACTTAATAGATAGTATGCAACTTCACAAATCATATGAGTGAAGTACTCGCTAATTCTTGATGTGTTTTTTAGCGTAATTATGATTATGCCCAAATGAAGATATAAAAATTTATGGTTCCTATTTATGATTAAGAGGTTACTGTTACTCATAGACATGACTCCAGGTTAGGCGTTTAAAAAAAGTAGATCAGATATAACAGTTGGATGCCTTTGCTGACGCCAGTATATATCTAACCCCATACAATATCAACATAAATCTAAAGTACTCGAAACTGATTTTCACTAATGATTATGATGACATCCATGATACAACAGCTGTTTTATTTCAATGTAAGTATAATAACAATTTAATTAAAACTCAATTTGAAAACTTACTTTGATGTCGTACCGTTACATTCATGAAGTTTTTTATGCATTTTCATGCCACGTGAAGTTTGACCAACATAACCACATGCAGAACAACGTAGTTCACTTGCACCACAGGGTTCCCAATGAGTTGTTGAAATTGACTGATCTGTTTCACAATCTGCGTTAATTTCTTGATTTATTGGCAAATGACGATTTGGCGATAATTTAGAACTGGATGGTGGTGATAGCCGATTACTTTTAATACTTTCCGCTTCATCACCACTACTAGATGTGGATGAATTTGTTTGATTAGTTGAAATAATTCTAGTGTGATTTAGATTATGAGCGGTAGATGAAAGATTTTCAGTTGTAGTACAACGGCGTTTACTAGCTGGTGAACCGGTAGTAGTTGTAGAACAGTTTAAAACAGTATGATTACCAGGAGATGTAGGTATATGCGATGTAACTGAATTTGCAGTGGATGTTTGTAAGTGTTTCATAACTTCTTTTCGTCCTTGACAGTAGAATTGTTGGTGAGCCTAAGGAAAAATTTGCAAAACCTTTCGATAAGTTATATATCTATGGGTACTGTATCATATACTAGTACAGTACCTTTATTAAGTCAGCTACATTTCTTTTCTAACCTCCTACTTTAGCCGTCATTCTACGTCTAAATAAGTAGCTGCTGTAATGTGTCAATGTAGGTTCGTAGTCTAATTAACTGATTCACTATCGTTATCTATGCGTAACCTTAACATCACTGACTCATTGGTTTTTGTCATAAGTAAACTATGTTTCCAAAATATTTATAGAGGAATATTGTCAACCTATACTAGTCGTCTAATTCAGAATTGGACATTCTGAATATTACTTGACTTAATAGACTGATGTTACAGTAGATGTCGACTACCTGGTTGGGGTCCGCGAGACGAAAGTCACCAATTGTTAGAGACCTTGGACGACATGGCTCAAAATCGTTTGCAATGGCTCAAGTGCATCCATTCTTTGAGCTCTCTCAAATCCTAATCTTCTGGATTCGTCAGAACCTCTAACTTTGTCGTTCTAACCTTATCTCACTGAATTATAATTCTTGAATAATATCTTCGAACCCTATTCTTCTTCATTACCATTAATACCTCTACTATCTTTATCACTATGGGATTTGATTTGACATCTGCGTCTCTGTGCTAATGTGGTATGGCAACATGAACTTATGTACATACGTACGTAGTCGCAACTGACTGACTGACAGTTTTCGAAAGTGTAGCTTGATTCGTATGTATCTTTTAGGATTAACAACTATTTCTAAAGCATATCCATATACTTTTTTATCTCTAGACTGGAATTCATGAAATCAAAGCTCCATTGCTACAATCACCTTTTTCATTAGAAATCATATTTTAATATATCTATAAGGTCAATAAAATCTGTGTTCATTTGTTTGTAAATGGTTTCAATGTTATCAACATCTACTTGATACTGTATTAATCAATAAATCATGAATATAATCTGCTAATTTCTTTCCATTGTACAATGTAAACAAAATATATTCTGTAAGTAATTTTACAAGTTACTAATAATCGAGCATAGGTGTCCTCGAAGCATTGCTCGTATATACTGGGAACACCGAGTAAGTAATGTTAGTATTACAAATAGGATACTAGATAAGAAGGTGGTTAGGACATGTGTTACATGTGTCCAACCACCGAATGCCCCAACTAGCTATGTTGTCTGATAGAGGGGTAGGCTGGAAGAAAGCTAGGGGCTTTCAAACCAAAACATGACACGGACTGAGTCATGTTAGTAGATGTAGACTGTCTGGTTGGGGTCTGCGAGACGAAAGTCACCGATGGTTAGAGACTTTGAATGACATGGCTCAAAATTGTTTGCAATGACACAGGTGCATCCACTCCTTATCTTCCCTCAAATTCCAATCTTCTGAATTCCTCATGACATTTCTTCTCTTTTTACATTTATTTCTAAGAGTTCTACCTCTCGAATCATATCTTCGGACCGTAATCCACTCCATTAGCGTTAATACTTCTACTTCCTCTACTATTATGGGATTTGAATTGACCTTTGCTGCGTCTCTGGGTTAATGTGGTAGCGCACTGACTATGAACAGTTATAATTTAATTCATTTCGTTCATGATACCATAATCAAATTAGAGAGTTACACAAAACATTTTCCACTATTCATTTACTGATTGTAAAACACAGAAACTGATTAATGTCAATTACAATATTTTTGAAAAAAAATGTTATTCTTTTTTTCGTAAGGTTTAAACAAAGCTCATAGACAAATATTAAACATTGAATAAAATCAGCATTGAGAACAATTGATCATTGAATAAATATCCGACTAAATTATTTCATAGACAATATACAATATAGATGATCTATGGGTTAACTTAACAGATGGTAGGTACACTACTCTGACTAATGAACAGACTTTGATCATTATGAAAGATTGAAATGTGACTGTCAATATATACATATATGGCTGTCTATTATTTCATATTGAATGGAGCCAAGCTGAAATATTATTATTCAATTCATTTAATTATATGAAATTAAAAATAAAGATGAGCTTTTAGATAAACTTCAACCACTTATCGGTTTAAAATTAATCTTAATTCTAATGGAATAAAAGCTTGATAGAATTAGTTTAGATATGTAATGAAATGAAACTATTTAATTATAAATTGTTAGTTTTGTTTAGAATGTAAAAAGTATCGGCTACTAAGATTGTTCGAAACCAATGTTTATTACAATGATAATGTAAATGCGGTCATGAACATTTCAAATTAATGACAGAAAGACCTCCAAATATGAAGAATCTAACGTTGAAGAGTTACAAACTTCGCTTTAAAGATGCGACTTAGTCAACACCGAAATTCAGTCAGTCAGTCAGATGCAACGTAGAACTTCGTACGTAAGTACATCAGTTCATGTTGCCATACTACATCAGCACAGAGATGTAATTGTCAATTCAAATCCAATAGTAGAAGAGGTAGTAAAGGTATTAGAAGTAATCGAAGAGGTTAGGATTAGAAGATATTATTCAAGAAGTATGATTAAATGAGAAAAGTTTAGAGAGTCAAAACTAGAGGTGTTGAAGAATCCAGAAGATTAGGATTAGAGAGAACACAAAGAATAAATGCACCGGCGCTATTGCAAACGTTTTTGAGTCATGTCATTCAGGGTCTCTAACCATCGATTACTATCATCTCGCGGACCCCAACCAGGTAGTCGACAACTACTGACATGGCTCAGTCCACCTGTCAGTGACTTCATGGATTCGTGCCATGTTTTGGTCTGGCCGCCCCTAACTTTTTCCCGATCTATTCCTACACTAAAAAACAAAGCTCTTCTAGGCAGTCGGTGGTTAGGCATACGCAACACATCCCAACCACCTCAACTGATGAAGTTTCATTACTTATCTATTGATCTGCTATTCTTACCTACCACCCGTTTCCTAATAACAGCGTTGCTCACTCGGGTGTCCCAGGATATACGAGCAATGCTTCGAAGATACCTATGATCGAAAACCAGTAACCTTACACTTTTACTGGCCATGTTTCACAGCAATAAAGTAAGACCGAGCGAACTACTGCACAGTACACTCGTCCTTTAGTCAGCAAACGGATATCTCGCCTACGCCACAACACCAAAATTAGTTAACATATAAAAGATGAATGAAATTAAACCGTTAAATATTCATCACAACCTCATTCATTTATACAGCCTTTTTTTAGGCCGCTGTTATCTTACATTATTTAAAACAAAAGTAGTTGATATACATGAAGTCTCATCAATATTGAATGGTATGATACTCTTTCCTAGTATTAACTACATAATTAAGAAAAAACAGACTAAAAGACTTTTAATTGAACAAAAACTACATCTGTACATTATTTAAACAAAACCTTGTCAAGACATACAGTCATCAATTAAACAAAACTAGGCGCTACACATAAAAATCTATAACAATTTTTAATGTTGGATATCTTTAAAAATTATCATTATCTTTATAAGTTCTTTAATACATAAAAAAACAATTAGAGAAGAACGTCATGCTAAAATTATACCACAATAGATAAAATATTCAGTAATCAATATTGGTTATTGGTGAATAGCATAGTTTGTTTTATGATGTGTATTTAAGTCTTTTGCACACGTGAAACATAGAACAATCATCGTTTTCACCCCTTAATAATTATTATTCTCTTCTATTTTTTTACTAACAAATAGATTCATTTTATAAAAGTGACCAAATGAAAATAACAAATAACCCTCCTACTGGGATTATCAATCTATCATTTATCCATAGATGCATAAGTGTTTCGATTGTATTGAAAAAGTTTTAAAAAAACATCTCACAGATCATAGGAGTCGTTTACAAGCTTTTTTTTGTTCAACTATGTCAATCGACACCATCGTAGATAAAAATTTAAAGTTGATAGGTAGAAGAGATAGATAGACAGTTTTTCTCCTTATCAGTAAAGCGTTTTTGTGTTATATTTCTTTTTACATACAGAAAAATAAATTCCCAATGAGTGTATATCTGTGAAAGATAACTTAAATATTTTATATTGTTTCATAGTTTATTTCTATATAAAAAAATATTCTGAAATTATTCTACTGATAAATGATTATTATCGGTTATATTTAATAATGAAATCATGTGTCAGTCGTTGTTAGACCACCATTAGAAACCTAGAAGCACTGGATAGCTATTTCGTCCTTGTATGGGACTCATCAGTGGTGCACATCCATGACTTCTGCTACTCGCAGGATGATGAGCCTTTGGACCACTGAGCAGGCATCCAATCGGGTTTCGCGCTACCTCACCCATTTGTCTTAGATAAATACTGTTTAAAGCTGAAAGAACTGAATTCGTGACCACGTCTTCTCACCAGAACTTCGAGAATTCCCTCACGAAGCTAGTCACTAGTGAGCATATTGTACAATTTTTCATTACAGAGTTATGGAGAACGTTGTTCATTACTGAAACGGTCATCCAGTACTTCCTAGGTTTCTTCTAATGATGGTCTAACAATGATTGATTCATGATTTCAGTAGAAAAACAACAATCTGTATAAATCTAAATGAAAAGTCGGTTATATTTGTCTATTCTATATTACTAATGAAGGTGGTTCTTCAAAAACTTCACTAACTAATTATCTTGATGTTAAGATAACTAGAAAAATATTGAAAACAAACTGTTTTTCAGCCGTTACTTACAACTACCCCAGTAGTATATAATATAACCTCGAAAACACCAGAAAAATTCTTCTCTAAACTAGAATGCATCGATAACATAGAGTAATAATCATGTTATATTGAAGATTGATCGAATTTATGAATGTAGATCATTGAATTTGATATTGGAAGCGATCGCATTGTTGAAAAGATTAAATATTTTAAAATATTAAAAAATTATCTATTGAATTCTTAATAAGATTATGCAAACAACTACTGATAAGTTATGATCGATCGATCAGGATGAATGGCTAACATTCCAAAGGGTTTTTATGTACATATTACTTCTAAACATACTTCCTGTCAGTGTAGATTGTACACGAAGTATTAACAATCCTACCAAAAGACATTGTCTAACTTAAAGAACTAACTACCCATAAATATAAATGATTCATCAATTTGAATACAGATAATCAGTTTGTGTTAGCATCTATCGTTCAACTCATTGTTATTATATTTTGTTAAATATGCTTAAAACAGTAGAAAATCATACTGTAGTTCTTGTTTTATTTCACAAGACAGACAGACAGATACAACTCAGAACTTCGTACGTAAGTACATCAGTTCAGGTTGCCATGCCCCATCAGTACAGAGACGCAACTGTTAATTCAAATCCAACGGTGATAGCAATAATAGAAGTATTAGCAGTAATGGAGAAGATTAGGGAGCGATAATATGATATGATTCGAGAAGTATAATTCAGTAAGATAAATTTAGAAGGAGAAAGGTAGAGATTATGAGGAATGCAGAAGCTTAGTATTTCATAGAACACAAAGAGTGGATGCACCTGCGCCATTGCAAACGATTCTGAGCCATGTCATTCAAGGTCTCTAACTATCGGTGACTATCGTCTTGCGGACCCCAACCAGGTTGCCTACATCTACTAACATGACTCAGTCTACTTGTCAATGACTTCATGGATTTCTGCCATGTTTTGGTTTGGCCACCCCTAGCTATCTTCCAATCTACTCCTACACTGCAAAACATAGCTCGTCGCGGCAGTCGGTGCAAACACTAACAAAGTCTACTTTGTTAAGATTCTTAATGGTATGATTTCTTTTAATAATACTCTTACTGACTTATTTCTGGCTTTTTATTGTGTGATATCTTCGCCTCACTTTCTTCAGTTTATAACTTAATCATATTGTTGATATATTTGTAAATATATTTATACAAATTTATAAAAATTCTGTTTTAATGTAATAATTAAGCCATAAAATCTAAACAAGAAACTATTTCAATGGCATGTTCTTCCATCCATATGGTTTGTTTCAAATAAAATGAAAGTTATCAATAATTACTAGAATATTATTATTATAGACAAGTAACTGAAATGAAAATGTAACATGTGTAAATTCAATGTGATACAGTAATTCCCCCTACACATAAACTTCATCAAATGTATATGAATGACATTAAGGAAAGTAAACAAATTGTGTAATCTTATACATAATTCTATGTTTTGAATAAATAACAATTATTCTAACTACAGAACAGATGATAAATAATAATAATAATAATAATAATAATAATAATAATAATAATAATGATAATAATAGTAGTGAAAAATGGAATTCATTCAAAATATGAGATAGAAAACACATGTTGTTCAATATTAAATAAATATGTTGTGTTTTTTTTTAATATTGTTTATGTTTATGCGTATGCTAAGGTGTGTGGATATTTTCAAAATGATAGAAATAATCATGAATTTTAAGGAGAGTGTTAAATTGTTAATGGCGAAATATTACAACTAATGACCGTTTATATTTACCATTTAACCAGCCAGTCCATGAGTCAATTCCAACGTAGAACTTCGTACGTACGTATGTACGTCAGCTCAGGTTGCCATACCACATTAGCACAGAGACGCCACTGTCAGTTGAAATCCCATAGTGGTAGAGATAGTAGACATATTAGCAGTAATGGAGAACATTAGGGTTCGAAGATATGATTCAAGAAGTAGAATTCAGTGAGATAACTTTAGAAAGAGAAAGATGGAGATGATGAGGAATTCAGAAGGTTAGGGCTTGAGAGAACACAAAGAATGGATGCACCTGCGCCACTGCAACTGATTTTGAGTCATGTTGTTCAAGGTCTCTTACCATCGGTGACTATCGTCACGCGGGCCCCAACCACGTAGCCTACATCTATCAACATGACTCAGTCCACTTGTCAGTGACTTCATGCCTTTCTGCCATGTTTTGGTTTGGCCGCCCGTAACTTTCTTCCAACCTATTCCTACACCACACTACACCACATAATAGCCGCCGATGATAACAGTAAAACACGCGAAATAGTATAACCTACTAGTATGAAGGAATTTTTTCACGAATAGACAGGACACACTAAATCGAATGTCAGAGCTAATTTTTGTATACCTTTTGGTGTTACTGATAACTCATAAAACAAGCATGCTATGATCTTTCACTAACGTATACTTTCATTTTATCAATGATCTACACAACATTATGTTAAATTTCATTCACATTACAAGTTCTTTTAAAAAAATATATTATGGTTTTTTGAAAATATCACTTCTTTGAAAGATTAATATTTACTTAATTGAAAATAGCCATTTATGTAGAATGTTATGTAGAATGGATCCTCCTCTGATGTGCAATAATGAAAATGAATAAAACAAAACGATCAATTCGTTGGTGTGAATTGTTAGAGGTCATGTGATTAATTCTGGAAGCGTTGGTCTTTTTTTTT